GGGACTGCGCTGAAGTGCTGCTTCGGGCTCGGCGGCTCTGACGGGCAGGCCGCACACCTCGGGGGGCAGGCCCGGGGGTTGGCGGGGTGGGGGGGGGGGGGGGGCCAGTGCTGGGGCCGCCCTCTCGCAGTGTCCCGCCTCCTCCCTCAGGAGTTCTCTTCTGCTTTGTCGTCACAGCTGGACACCGGCAAGACTTTCCAGGCTGTCATGAGGTTTGACACCGACGTGGAGCTCACGTACTTCCACAATGGGGGCATCCTCAACTACATGATCCGCAAGATGGCCAAGTAGGGCTCGCTCCTTGGGAGCCTGCGCCCCTCCGGCCGTGCCGGAGGCCGCCTCGCGGGGGCGTGCCTGAGCCCGGGGTCCGGGGCCAGGCCTCCAGGCGCAAAAACAGCCGTTTCTGCATCCTCCATTTCTGTTCAGCTTTGTATCTTCTTCTAGAATTTGGAAGCTAGAATGGTGGGAATGTCAGTAGTGCCAGAGAGAGAGAACTGCGCTCGTCTTTGATGTTACTGATCACAGAATGATGATTTTTCACTCTTACCTGCTAATGTTCAGTCTTCTCGGAAGGTGTCTCCCGCCCTTTTTTTTGTTCCCCTCAGTTATCCTCTGCTCCGGGAAACCCTTCCCTGGGGCTCCTTGGCCTTGCCCATTGCACCAGCGTTAACTGACAGGTGGTAGATAAGAACTTTCTGCACTTCAAATCAGAGCGTGACAACGCCCCCTTCAGAGTGGATAATCCCGCCCCTCGTGGACAGGTCAAATGCTGACAGTTTTTGATTATGTACCTTTTGATAGATCAACAGTAAAGAAATGCGAAGTTTTCTTTTACTACCTTCAGAAATTTTCCTAGGAAATTCATTGGTCAAGAGGAGGACTTTGGAGGCGGTTTTAGAGAGAGACAGAACATTTCTAATTTGAATAAGATTAAATCTATTTTCAAGGAAAACGTTTGACTTTGGGATTGAATTCTGCTGTGTGTGTGGCTATAGTCTGGGGGTACTTGGAGCAGCGCCGACCTCAGAGGGCAGCACCCCGAAGCCCAGAGGACCTTCCAGTTCTGTTTTCACAGCCACATCTCTGCAAGTAAAATGGAAGTCCAGGAGCCAGGCTGTTCTCCGCCCTGTTTGGGGCCAGACGGGAGGGTCGCAGGAGCGCTAAGGTAGTATAGCGAGCAGATCGTAATTCTTTCGATTTTCATACGTGTTGACCTGTTCATTTTCATCACTGACGTCATTGTAGGCACCTGTCTAGTCTACTCCAGCTGCCATATCAAAGCGTCACAGCCTGGGTGGCTCGAACAGCAACAATTTATTTTCTCACAGACCCAGAGGCTGGAAGTCCAAGATTAAGGTTGCAGCCACTGCATTTCCTGGTGAGAGCTCTCTTCCTGCCTTGGATGGCCACCTTCTCTTGTGTCCTCAGGTGGCCTTTCCTTAGTGCCCATGCGTGGAGAGAGAGAACAGCTCTTGGGTGTCTCTTCCTGTCAGGGCCCCACTCTGCGACCTCCTTTAACCTGAATTCCTTCCTTAGAGGTCCCATCTCCAAAGAGTCACAGTGTGGGGCACGGCTTCAACATACGAATTTGGGGGTCACACAAACATTCAGTCCGTGACAGGGCACCTTGTAGCCTGCATGTTAGTCTCTTTGTAATGAGTCTTAAATCCCAGCGTTAACGCTCAGGGGATGTGGCTTGGCCATCGGAACCCCCAGGATCAAGAACTGCCTGCACCTCTTCCTGAGGAGGGACAGCTTGGGCTCCTGAGCATCCTTGCCTCTAGGTCCTGGCGTCTAAATTGTGCTCATGAACAGAAATTACCAACAGACCGTGTTATACAAAAAAGCCTGTGACCCTGAAATCAGGATCAATCCCAGCGTAAAACCACCGAGAAGGCTGAGAGCAGACCTCCACCCCCTTCGCTCCCTGTTACTGAGCGTCCGGGGAGCGGTCTAGCTCCCCTCATTCAGCGGTTATGGGGAGCCAGGTTCCTGGTTATGACTTGCGGAATGGGGTCCCTTCACTCTGGATCCCCCTCCTGTACCTCCAAACACACCCTCTATCCTTTTCTTTAATAAAGTGTCTTGGCCAGTGTCACATCCTTGCCCACAACAAGGCTCAACAATAAGTCCCTTTTACCTGGTTTCTCAAAAAGGCACTGGTCCTCTTGCTCTCCAGATTGAAGGATGCTGCTGTTGCTGGAGCCGCTCCTCCTTCCTCTCTATGGGATCCCATCTCCTCGTTCTTGCGTTTTTCTAAACCCATTATTGCCTGATCCCTCCTAGGGAAACAGGCATTCCTTGGTCTGCCCAGTGGGTTCACTCACAAACTTATTGAATGCAGCAAATAAGCACATGTGTCCTTGGCTGTGGCACAGCCTTCATGTAGGAGTGTACACACATCCCGTCTTTATGGTGCAGGGAGAGTAATCTAGGGGAAGGATATTAGTCATAACTCTCTTAGTTATGCTGTTAGAAGCACAACTCAAACTGGCTTAAGCAAAAACCACTAATAATTGGTTCCTAGAACTTGAAGAACAGGCATGGCCAAGGCCACACGCTTGATTGGATCCAGTGACTCGAACTCAGCCCCCTCCCACCTTTTTCCCTCTCATCTTACCTTCCATTTGCAATTGCCTCATTCTTCTGGGCCATTCCATGAGCCGGGGGTATGGCCACCGGCAGCTCTGGGTAACAGTTAGTAATTGTGATCTTAGCAAGTTGGCTCCCCGTGGTCCCCAGGCTAAAAATATTGGGAGTTTCCTAGTCACCTAAATGAAGAACCTTCTTTGGGGCACAGTTTCCCTTTCAGGGTTATGTTAGGACAGTGTGGCGTGGCCCACAGGGTTATGTAGGAGCAATGTAGAGTTCTGTTCTGAAGTTACTGCTGGTAACCGTTACCAAGTAACCAAGCTTCCACTGGCTGCCTTCTTGGGAAGTTGTCAAGTGTCACGGCCACAACAGAATTTAACACCCACGTGGCTTTTATTCACCCAGACAGCCTAATTATCATGAACAAAGATTATATAATTATAGCTGAAATTTTAATAGTTTTAATAATTTGCATCCCAAGAACTGAGGCCTACATATTCAATATAGATTTATTGAGTGACATTTATAGTTTTATTTGATAGTATAATAAAACATAGTTACTGGTAAGATCCTGTAATTAATTCTCCAGTTTGGTTCTGGCTGTCTAGTCTGCACCAGGGCAGACACCTGCTACTGTGCTCCTATAGGACATTAACAACGTCCCATAAGTAAGAGGGTTTCAGGGTCAGTGTATTTGGGATATCGGGTTAACTAGGTCTTATTGCGGCAGAACTGACAGAATGACACACGACAATGAAGGCTGTAAGTCTCTCATTTGAGGGGAGGGGGCAGCATGCACCACAGAAACACATTGGACCACAGAGCACTTTCTTCAGAGCATCTCATAGCACTTCGGGTCCACAAGACGTGCTTGAGGAAACGCCGACCTGATGGCTTGCGTGTTTTTTAAATTTGAATAATAATATCAACTGTAAAGACAGGAATCAGAGTTTACTGCCCTTGTTACGCCATCACATTTGATTGAAGGCGACCTTTCATTTTCAGGTGAAAACATCACAGTGTCAGCACCAGCAGGGATCACAGAGATAACCAGATCCTGTGGTTGTATAAGGGATTGTATCTGAACCACCGAGGAACTTCAAAAACTACACATGGCTGGACACCCTGCCAGGATGTTCTAACGGGGCTGGGCATGTGCTCATGAAAAAGACTCTGCAGTTGGTTCCAAAAGGCAGCCTTTGATCTAGAAATCCAATGACCAGCATTTGGGTGTCAGTCAAGAGTTTGCAATTTTTAAACCCTACCCACCAGTGTCTTTCCTTCAGTAAACATTAACCAAGTGCCTACCCTCTTCCAGGCTCCAGGCCTGGCAATGGCTTGACTCCAAGCTAAAGCCCAACAAGGAAATTCTGAGTTTGCTTGCTTCAGCTTTAGTCTGCCGCCGTCTATTGGCTGAAGAGAGGACCATTCACCTTCCTCCAAACTGAGCCATTTAGACACTCGAGAGAACTTCTCTCAAACAGATTTCCAGTAGATGTTTTACACATCCTATTGGAGTTCTGAAACAACAGCATCCAAAAAAGGCAATCGCATTTAAACAGAGACGCCTGTGAGACTGTGACTTGTAATAAGAAAAACAGGCCTACATATTTGTTCTTCATCCCCATTTCTGGCACAGAGCTTCTAAAACTCTTGGAATTTCCTAAGTGATGACAGCAGCAAAGGTGTCTTTTGTTATGTTAATGAGGTGACTTTTGGAACACACCTAAGGATGGGGTCTGCTTGCCAGGAGAATCAACCGTGTGATTAGAGGGTTGGAACTTGCAGTCCCACCCCCTGACCTCTGGGGAGTGGAGAGGAGTTGGAGGTTGAATCAGCCACCAACGGCCAGTGATTTAATCCATCATGCCTACGTAATGAAGCCTCCATAAAAACCCAAAAGGACAGGGTTCAGAGAGCTTCCGAGTTGGTGAAAGCGTGGAGATTTGAGGAGAGTGGTGCACCCAGAGAGAGCTTGGAAACTCCACGCCCTTTCCCCGTACCTCACCCTATGCCTCTCTTCCGTCTGGCTGTTCCTGAGTTACATCCTTTTATAATAAACAGGTGATCTAGCAAGTAAAACGTTTCTCTGAGCTCCTTGAGATGCTCTAGCCAATCAATAGAACCCAAGGAGGAGGCCGTAAGAACCTCCAATCTAGAGCCACTTGTTCCAGAAGCACAGGTGACAACCTGGACTTGTGATCAGCATCTGAAGTGGGGGGCGGGGGACAGTCTTGTAGGATGGAGCCCTTAACCTGTGAGATCTGATGCTATGTCCAGGTAGTGTCAGAACTGAGCCAGAGAACTGCTCAGTGGTGTGGGGAAACCCCCCACGTTGGAATTGGTGACCAGAACCTTGATACGCTAATGAAATATAAATGGAAAATGAATAAAAATCAGCAAGGAAATTGGCTTAAATAACCCATTTTAATTGTGACTTACTAAGACTACCTCTAGTAATAACAATTATCAAGCAACTACTGTGTATATCATGTACTTTTCATACATTATTTCAGTTAAAAACCCTCCACTAACCCTTGTTTTACAGATGTAGAAAATTAAGCCAAGGAGAAGTTATGTACCTGGTAGGTTCTCTGATTCTCAGCCAGATGAAATGGAGAGTGAGGGAGCTGTAGCATGTCACCCCACTGATCTCCAGGCTTGATTTGGGGTATATGGGTGGTCTCTTGGACACCAAAGATGTACACAGGTGCCACTTGAAAAGAGTTATGCAATCACATATGTTGAACATATTATTAACATTTTATGATGTTTGGAGGTTTGTTTAAGCCATTGATGGTCCTGCTGAATTACAAACAACTAATCTGAGTCTGTTTTAAGAAGCTGCTTCAATTACTGTAGAGCCTACCCTGAACCGAACACAAAATATCTTGGCCTGGATGGAAACAGCAAAATTCAGGCAGCTGTCTTCATGTCTAGAAAATCCAAAACTAAGCTATGGAGCATCAGCAAACCTTGTTAAGTGACACAGGAATGGCATCTGGATATGTATTCTGATTTTGTAAACAGCAAGAACAGAAAATTAAACTGCTTCATCAGTATCACCCAAGGGACCTAACCGAGAACACAGTCCGAGTGTTGACCATCCACTATTGTTGGAAAATGGCCTGAGATGACCATTCAAAGGGAATGATGGTACAGGTTAAGAAAGCAAATTAATAGGGCAAGAGGTACAATCAACTAAAAGAACAGATATCAGCTTCTCAAGCACTACCGTATCATTTACATGCCCCCATTACTAAACGTCATCCACTCGAGTTTTAAGATTACGTGCCACATGTTGCTATACAGAGAACATGAGCATATGTAACTATGATACATATGTATATGTACATATATTGAAGCCTTGGAATTATCAACATTTAAGGGATCGCAAAGAGGAACCAATAGAAAAGACTGGGATAGAGCTGCAAGGGAAGAAGCCAAGAGGGAGTTCCAAGAAAGGAGTGCTCAACAGGACCAAACGCAGCAAAGAGGTCGAAAGAGAAGGACTAAGAAGTGCCCAACGGATCTGGCGACCAGAGTCACTGGTGACCTTGACAAGAACAATTTCACTAGATTGTTAAGAGCAAAAGCCAGTTTACAGTGGGTTAAGGAAAGAAACGGAAGTATGGAAAACTTTTTCAACCTTCATTCATTCATTTATTCCAATGTGCGCTGAGTGGCTACTGGGGACACACTGGCAGTTAGTTCTGAAGGGAAGGATAGAAAGGAAAGTTCAGCTTTTTAATTTTTCCCAAGTACTTAGAGCTCTATTGGTCTACAAAGCATTCCATGCTGTGATTCGCTCCCATGTGCTTTACACGTACGACAGAGTACAAACTGTTGAAAACAATGAACAGAAGGCAAAGGTCAGTGACAAATATTCAGCGCAGTACAAGTCTTGGTAAAACATCTTTATGGTGGTACAGGCGGTCCATGGTTTGCTCGCTGGGGCTCACTTCTTCTTTGCTCAAGGTCACCCATTCCCTGTAGCTGAAGACTGAAGTCCTCAGGTCAGTTGGACATTTCTGCAGCATCAAATGGTATCTTCTCAAAATTAAAGTCCCTCCACTTTGCATACAGTGTCTGAACTCTGGTTGCGATATCCTCCACCACAAAACTTTCAATTTTGATAACTGGAATCTCAAATGTCTTATACTTCACACAGATTCCCCAGTCATGGCTGCAGTCCTCTCTGGCACAGTATATCTTTGCTTTCTTCTCAAAACTCCCAAAGATCTTTGGTTTGGGGTGTGATCTACACACAAAGCATTCCCTGAAAGCATTTCCAACCACAGTGTAATGGCATTCCTACACAGGAAGGGCGTGGATGACACAAAACAGAACATTAGGACCAGCACATAACCGCGATTACAAAAAGAAGACTCCACAACAAGCTGAGGGAGAGCAGGTGGGATCCCACTTGTTCTGTGGATGGGGGAGGAAGGAAATATGGATTCACCTGAAGGCCAGAGTGGAATCCATGCAGCCTGACTCCCAATTCATGGTGGGGGGTAGGGACGGATGACGGGACGTGGAGGGACATAGGGGACATCTCATGAAGAGGAGGACTAAGTTTCCAGGCAACCTAGCTTCTATAAGAAGAACCTCTTTCTTAATTCAGAAACAAAAGGGGCACTTGTTGAAGATCTGTGAAGCCTGAGTCCACCAGTGGCCCTGCCAGGCATAATCCAAAGGGTACAGAGAAGAACAAGAAGAGGGTCAATGTGGACCTGAAGATGATCAGGGACTTCTGTGTCCACAGGCCCCGCCTGCAGTCAACCTCAGAGTAAGTGAGAAAAGGCTACACCGCACAGACCAAGGCAGGAGAATGTACAGTCTAAAAGAGCCATTTCAATAGAAAAATCACCAGCCCTGGAGCTGGAAGGACCTTTCGAAGCTAGAGAAGTGGGCTCAGAAAGGCATGGGAATCTGCCAGTGTCACCCGTAACAGGCTGCTTGCTCCAACGGTTGCACTGATTGCAGACTTCCGCCCTCGGGACCAAACAGAACCCTCGAGTAATAGCTCATCGTCTGAGCTGGCCCGGGCCTGCACCCTCCCTCCATCGGCAGCAAGGGGGACAGCCAATTTTTGTCTTTAGAGATTTTTCTAGTCCTTTATCTAAAAGTTTAGAAATACATACATAGAGAGAAAGCTAATCTGCAGGTGTCATGTTTTTAAAATAAGGAGATATTTTGTTTTCATTATAAAAGTGATCCATATCCCCAAAAGTTTAGAAAATATAAAATAGTAGAAAAACAAAAAAAGCATGGAGTCACTGCAAAATATTAATACATTTTCGTATATTTCCTCTAGGCTTTTTTCTGTACAAAAGTAAATTTTTTGCTTTTTCAGTTTTTGGTACTGATGGTGGTGTTGCTGCTATTATTTCACACCGAGATAACTATAGCATATTCATAATTTTGTATCCTGGTTATTTTTCCCACTTTACCGTTAGTCTGTAAGGAGTTTTTCATTATACTACATAAGCTTCATAATCATTTTGTTTAATAAACTTTACTTTGGAATAATCTGAGGTTTACAGAAAAGTTGCAAAGACAGTCTCAAGAATTCCTGTACCCCTCCTCCCAGCTTCCCTGAAGGCTAACATCTTACATACTGCAGCACATTTGTCAAAACTAAGAAATTAATGTCGGCACATTACTATTAAGTAAACTACAGATTTTACCAGTCTTTCTAATAATATCCTTTAACTGTTCTAGGATCTAATCCAGGATACCACACTGCATTTAGCATAATTATTATTTTTAATGGCTACATAATATCTAATTAAGTGGCTGTGCAGTAATTTTTTTAACTATTTCTTTATTGCTGAACATTAAGGATTCCTTCTTAACTTTTTAGCCTTTTGAAAATACGTGGACCAGGGCCATGATAACAACAGAAACAATGGTATTCTTACTATAAATAGCTCACCAATACACAGTAAGGTTTAATTAGTGCTAAAAAATGACCCAGTGCGCTTTGTTAAAAAGGCTGCTTACCTCCACGACTCTTATGTCAGCCGTATAACATGCAAAGGCTTTGCACTTTCTGCAGAGCAGTTTTTTATTTTTCTTATCAAGTACAGGTTTTGCTTTTCCTTGACTATCTCTGATGGATTTTTCATGAATTTGTATCTGGCAAACCTATACGCAAAGAAAAACTCATAAATGTAATCTGAGTATAACGAGGATATATATGCATATATATACACACACACACACATATTTATGTGTATAATCATTCATTCACATACAACTTCCATGAACATACAGTGCCTGGCTTTGTTTATAAAAATCCCATATAATTTTATTGGTTCTCCTAACTCTGTGTTAGTCAATGTTTAACTGTGCCCTCCAATTAGTCCTTTAATTTCTTCATCAAAGATGCCCATAAAAGCATTAACAATAGCCATAAAATAGGCATGTGAACCATGCTTTCTACTTCAGTAGTTGGCAAAACTCTAAAAATCTTTCACAAATAGACATACGATATGCATTGATTGTTTCAGGCATAATTACACCCACTTCCAGGGCATAAACCCACCGAATGGAACAGCAGGCAGAGGAGCCCCCACCATCGAAAATCTTTTGTCTCTCCCCTTCCAACCACAGAGAGTGCTGTGAATTGCAGCAAAGTTAAATGCGTGTACAGGATGACTGCATTCTCTTCCAAACGTTAGGCCGTGGCTCAGTGCAACTAAGAACTCTGGACATTTACATATACGACAAACATAGAAAGATTCTGAAGGGCGAAGAGAGGAAAGCAGACTAGCGAGGGCACTTGAGACCCTAGGAACAACATGGTGGTGAGTTCCCTGGGGTCTTTTTCACCTCATATACCCCAGACTTGGAGCTGAAGAAGCTGGCAACCAGAGACGCCTAAGGGCACAGATAAAAAAGTCTCAGCACAAGCCTACCCTCTCCAGCCAAAGGCCCGGGACGGGGGCAGCCCAGCAAGACAGAGAACCTCTAGGCAACAGCTGCTCTACTCCCGCCAAACACCACAGAAAACAACAACAACTGTGAAGTAACCCCACCCACACCAGCAAAGGCTGAGAGGGGAACCTAGAATTCTGCATTGCAGGGCGATAACGAAGCACCCCAACACGCCCACTTGGTGGTGTCAGAGAAGGCCAAGGAGGGAGCCAGGACTTGCAGCCCAGCCCAATGCGTGTCAGTGGAGATCAGGTGGGTAGCTGGGACTCCCACCCAGCAGCGAGGGGAGCCTCCCCCTTGCTGGTATCAACAGAGGCTGGGCAGGGAAGCTAGACTTCTACCTCCACCCAGCAGGGGCGAGACAGTGTCCCTGCCTCCCCTGCCAGAAGGGTGTCAGAAGCAGCCAGCTGACACAGAAGATTCAATAAGATCCTGAGTCTCGCGGCTGGCCCAGCAGCGCAGTGGTTAAGTGTGCATGTTCTGCTTCGGTGGCATGGAGTTCACCGGTTCGAATCCCGGTACAGACATGGCACCGCTCATCAAGCCATGCTGTGGCAGGCATCCCATGTATAAAATAGAGGAAGATGGGCACAGATGTTGGCTCAGGGCCAGTCTTCCTCAGCAAAAAGAGGCGGATTGGTGGCAGATGTCAGCTCAGGGCTAATCTTCCTCAAAAATAAATAAATTAATTCAATTAAATTTTGTTTAAAAAGCATCCTGAGTCTCCTAACACAATAGGAAAATGCCCAGGTTGTGATTAAAAAATCACTCTTCATACCAAAAACCAGAGCGATCTCAAACTGAATGAAAAAAAGACAATCAAGTGACGCCAACAGTGACATGACAGAGATGTTAGAATTAGCTGACAAAGATTTTAAAGCAGCCATAACAACAATGCTTTCATAAATAATCATAAACACTCTTGAAACATGAACAAATATAAAGGCTCAACAAGGAAATGGAAGATATAAAGAAGCACCAAATAGAAATTTTAGAACCTTTCAGTTCAATATAATACCCAAAATAAAAAGCTCAGTGAATGGGCTCAACAGCAGAATGCACGGGACAAAGGAAAGAATCAGGGAGCTGGAAGACAGAACAGCAAAAATTACCGAATCTGAAAACCAAAAGAAAATAGACTGAAAAAAAAAAAAATGAACAGACCCTCAGGGATGTTTAGGGCTATTTTAAAAAAAAAAGATCTAAGGGACCAGCCCGGTGGCATAGTGGTTAAGGTCGCACTCTCCACTTTGGCGGCCTGGGGTTTGCAGGTTCGGCTCCTGGGCACAAACCTACACACCACTCATCAGCCATGCTGTGGCAGTGACCCACATACAAAATAGAGGAAGACTGGCACAGATGTTAGCTCAGGGTCACTCTTCCTCACCAAAAAAAAAAGATCTAACACTCATGTCACTGGAGTCCTAGAAGGAGAGGAGAAAGAGAGCAGAGCTTAAAAAGTACTGGAAGAAATAATGGCTGAACATGTCCCAAATTTAATATAACGGAACATAAGCCCACAGATTCAAGAAGCAGAATAAATCTCGAAAAGAATAAACCCAAATAAATCCACACCACGACACATTATAATTAAACATGCGAAAACTAAAGACATAGAAAAAAGTCTTGAAAGCAGCCAGAAGAAAACACCACCTTACCTATAGGAGAAAAACAATCTGAATGACAGCAGATTTATCATCAGAGATCACGGAGGCCAGAAGGAAGTGACACAATATTTTTCAAATGCTGAAAGAAAAAACTGTCAACCCAGACTCCTATACCCAGCAATAGATCCTTCCAAAAGACAGTCATGTGCTGCATGATGACGTTTGGGTCAACGACAGACCACATACATGACGGTGGTCCCATAAGATTAGCACCGTACAGCCTAGGTGTGCAGGAGGCTATACTGTCTAGGTTTGCGTAAGTGCGCTCTATGATGCTCACATGATGACAAAATCACCTAACAATGCATTTCTCAGAACACGTCCCCATCAGGAAGCAATGCCTGGCTGTAAAGGGGAAATCAAGACATTCTCGAATGAAGGAGAGCGAAGAGACCTCGGTTCCCCAGCAGGCCTTCCTTCAAAGAACGGCCAAAGGAAGTTCTCTAGACAGAAGGGAATGACAAAAGAAGGAGCCTGGAAACATCACAGAGGAGGAGAGAACACGGTGACTTCCACAACATCGGTGGCAGAAGGAGCTGCCCAGCCCCGTCTGTGGCGCTGCCTCTCTGTGACTAGACTACGTTTTCCAGTGTTCCAGGTGCAACCAGACAGCCTAGATGCAAATCCTGTTTCTACTACTTACCAGCTGTGTGATTTGCAGAAAGTGCCTCTGTTTCCTCAAATACAAAATAGGAACAATAATGGCATTTATTTCATGGGCTATTGGGAGTTAACATGACTTTATAACTGCTCAGAACCTCCTGGCACAGGTTAACTGCTCGTCGACGTTAGCACTGGTCTGTTAGACTAGTCTAGTGCTAAGAACCTGAACATGTCAATATAGCAGTTTGTGCTTTAGTATCCGATAGGGGAATACCATTCATGAGTTATTTTCTCAGAAATATCACAGCTATTTTCATTTATTTATTATCCTATATTAACTCTGGAACCACTTTATCAAGTTAAAAATATCACTCAAACTTCGATTATGAGTTGCGATAAATGATTATGGGGTGAAGGTACATCTTTAAAATATTCAGTCTTTCCATTCGAGAACGTGGCACTGCTTTTCTTTTGTCTTAATTCACCTCCTATCTCTCAGTAAAATTTTTGGAGTTGTCCTTATTGATGCTTCAAACATTTCTGGTTAGGCCAGTAGGTGCAGCAGTTAAACAGATGGCCTCTGCCAGCTCCAGCCCTAACTAGATGTGTGATGCCCTGGCACTGAGGATTTTCATGCCTCGGTCTCCCTCCTATAAAATGACCTAATAAGAGGCTCTACTGCACAGACAGCCACGAGGCCTGCTGACATAAAGAACGCGCTGGCAGGCTCAGTGGAGGGTCTGTGTTCTGCAGGTATGAGCTGTGGTTGCTGCTGTCACTGTGAACGGAAACCTCCCTCTCCCCCTCATATCTTCTACTGGTCACTCATCATCCACACAGAATCCACTGACCTCTCAAGGACTTCAAATTCAAATAAAATCTCATGTATATCAAAAACTTAGGTCTGCAATATAGGTTAGGAAAACAATCAAAATATAATTTTCTCTTCCCATGCTGCCACCTCATCCCATTTGAAATTAGCTTCACTGTTTTTGTAAAAATAAAGGATGTTTATGCCTCCTATTCTCAATTCAATTTCCCACTGCTGTAAAACTGTGACATATATGTACTTATCCATTACTTCCTTTGGATAGATTTCTTTTTTTTTCCCTTTGAAAAGATCGGCACCTGAGCTAACAACTGTTGCCAATCATTTTTTTCTTCTTCTTCTTCTCCCCAAAGCCTCCCAGTACATAGTTGTATATGCTAGTTGTGAGTGCCTCGAGTGCCTCAAGTTGTGCTATGTGAGACGCCACCTCAGCATGGCCTGATGAGCAGTGCCATGTCTGCACCCAGGATCCCAACCAGTAAAACCCTGGGCCGCCACAGTGGAGAGCACGAACTTAACCACTCGGCCACAGGGCTGGCCCCTGGATAAATTTCTAGACATGAAATTCCTAGGTTATTTACATTTCCCTATGAGCAATTTTAATTTCCTTTTTTTTTTTTGGCTGAGGAAGATTCGCCCTGAGCTAACATCTGCCACCAATCCTCCTCTTTTTTTGCTTGAGAAAGATTGGCCCTGAACTAACATCTGTGCCAATCTTTCTCTGCTTTATATGTGGGACGTCTCCACAGGAGGGCTGATGAGTGGAGAAGGTCCACGTCCAGGATCTGAATCCACAAACCTGGGCGGCAGAAGCAGAGCGCGGACCTCTAATCACTCAGCCACAGGGTTGCCCACAGTTAATTTCCTTTTTTCAGACATGGTTCTCATCACTCCTTGAGGCACACTGGGGGTAGGGGAATGTGATAGGAAAGAGGGTACACATACACACTTGCCCTTTGGGCAGCCAATTAAAAAAACATTCACATATATCTAATGATATTCAATTATAGACAAAAATTCAATTAAAAACTAACAATCTCAAATATTTAAAATGCTACCGTGGGCAACAGATATAAATCCTAATCAGTTAAAACTAACTACCACTGCTGTACTTAAGACGAACTAAAACTCAGTAACTGGATAAAGAGGCTCAACCAAAGTCACAAATTCGGTAGCCAGCCCACGGCCTCCCTCCCGCACTGGCTGGAGAAGCCACCCAGCTCCCCCCCACTGAGGGGAATCAGGCAGGACCCTGAAGCTCCGTCTGTGCGCAGGCACGGGTACACAGGCTGGAAGCTCTCCTGCCAAAAGGAACTTTCTGTCACCCCGTATCTTGTTCTCTACTCCACGAGGAAAGAAAGCAGGCTGCCTCATTTTGATCCCAGATAATCCTTCACAGCTAGAGCTGTGAGAAATAGCCCTTATACCTTATTCCTCCAGAATGAAATACTACCGAATCCTGGGCTTCCATCATGGAAGGAAGTTCTGGCATACCTCCGGACTGTCTGCATGGTAAGACGGCGGCAGAGTAACCAGAGGTCCCGGGGGCCACAGTGCTCCAGGGAGGGTCGCCACGCGCGGACAGTGGACGATGCAGCTACTCAGAGGCCGCCCTACAGAGCTCCAAACGGCTTTCCCCTCTTCTGCAGTTTCCTCCTCCCACAGAAGCCCAGGCGAAGGGCCATAGCGCTCAGATCCAACGCCCAAGCCTCTAGCAAAACCACAGAAGGGGTCTCCCCTCAGGAACCGTAAGACCTTTTAGTTCCAAGAATATAAGATTTCCCCCACCTTACTATACTTCTACTAAGCCTGTGAAAGCAAAACCTCCCTCTTCCAAGGGAGCAGCGGGGCCAGGTCACCTATGACAGGCCAGGGATGACACCAAGACGCCAAGCTCCCAGCTGCCCCGGAATTAGCAGCTGCCAGTGACTCCTGGCTGCACCTGTTCCGGGCTCTTTCTCATTCTTTACCATCTCTGCCCGTTTTCCATCTCTGGGTGTTAGAGGAATCCCAAATGCTATTAAATACCTAATTCAACAGACATTTAACCCATTTTCTCCTCACCCCACTCCTTGACTTGTGCTGGTTACAGGAGATGTCTACGTCTGGCCCGGCCTCCGTCTCCCTCAATAGACTTTTAGTCTGTTGTTTCTGCCACATCTGAGTCTAAGCAGCTTGTCACCCAGTGGAGGAGATAAAAATTATGCCATGGGTGTTAGAGCTAGTGTGGTTTTAAAGCCTTTATTGGCAACATCCCCATATTCTACAAAATAGGGAGGTGGCTCAGTGAAAAAACCCTGTCCTCAGTAAAAGTAAGGAGGAACTAAAGAATTTCCCTGCAATTCCTCTCCCTGGAAATGTGGAAGAGGCGTTTTTAAATATCTTGATCTCCAAACGTTAGGAAGAAATGTTTTAAAATGAGTAACTACCGACATAAAGTTGTAATTTTGTCCTAAAATAAGTGTTGGTTTGCTCTAGATCTCTGCTTCACGATACTTTTTTGAGCACACAGATCGTGACTTTTTAAAGGTATGGACACGACGGAGCCGGTCTGCTGAGCTGCCATGCTCCCCTGCATGGAGTTGCAGGGTGCCTCACACCTCAGGCCAACAACCCCCACGTGTGAGTGTCACTTTATAGCAGGCGCTGTGCGAAACAATGCACACCTCTCATTTTACACGCCCCCCCCCCCGCCCCCGCCCCCGAACCTCGCGTGAGTTAAATACCGTATTCTCCCAACTTTGCAAATGAGGAGGCTGATGATTTCCAAGGGGAACTCCCCGAGGTCACACATCTTGTAAGTGGCAGAACTGGGACTGAAACCACTGGTTCCAATGTTAAACTCCCCCCAAGCCCTGCAGTGTTCAATGCTTCCACGCTGCTGAGGCGGAAATCTCTGCAGAGGGTCCGGAGAACGTGTGTGTGTGTGTGTGTGTGTGTGTGTATGTGTGTGTGTGTGTCTTGACTTTCCCCAACCTGGCTCCATGCTTCTGTGTTATTAAGGAAATTACAATCCAACTAAGGTCACTACAAGAGGCTGAACTGAATCTGTGCCACTCCCAAGTACGCATCATTCTCCATGCCTAAAAACAGGCATTCCGACGCCTGCATGGTGCACCGGGAGCTTTTCTCTGAGGACTCCGGACAGGAGAGAGAGAGACGAGGAAAAGACAAAAAGAGCTGTGTCTTGCAGTGTTGGGTGTGGCCCTCGAGATGAGCTGTCAACTTGAGAGCAATTCTAGCTCAGTTTCCCTTTTAGATGTAAAAACATAACTTTAGGTATTAGCATTAATAAAATATATTTTAATCACATTGAGACAAAGTAGAATGAATCTGATGTTCACTGCAGGACAGAATTTTAAGCATGGACTGACTCTTCTAAAGCCACACTTGGAGCAATATGGTCAAAGGCACCAGCCATGCGCACAGTCCCTGTCGGTTACCTACAGGCAGATTCTGAACGAGTAACACAGATGCAAAGACTTACCTTTTCTTTAAATATTGCTTCATCCCATGCCTGAAGGCTTAAAATGGAGTCATTCATCATTTTTTCTTTGTACATATTCATTTTTTCTTTTTCAATTACATCAGCATTACTAGTCAGAAGGAAGCACTTGCTACCTTTTGCTCTTCCTCTGCCTATCAGAAAATAAATATTTTATTTAGTGTCTTTGATTTAAAACTCTGATAGCTCTGAGAGTAGGTAAGTAAAGGGAGAGGGGTATTCTCAAAATTCAGCTTTGGTTCACTGAATCCCGCTTTTTAGGGCAGCTGGGCAGTTAGAGGATGGACTCAAATGCAGCGTGCACCCGCACGTCAACCATGCGGATAAACGAGAGCCTCCGCAACCCGGCTTCCTCAGGGTCTCCATGGTGAGGGTGACTGCACTGCACCCTGCCAGGGTCACTGCTTTAAAGACAAGCCAACGTGAACCCTCAGGAGTGACGCTGTGAGCGCTCTGAGACGAATAATAAACAGACTCTCCCCCAAGAGCCTTCTAGGAAACGGAGAGTAAGTTATGTTCACAACCAGCCAAATATAGGTAGAAATGATGAGTGCTGAAAGAAAGACGGATATAAAGGCTTATGGTCATTCCAAAGAGAGACTGCTGCCCGCTGGGAGAATCGGCAACAGCTGATACAGGGGGAGGGGAGAGGCAAAACGGAGCCAGCAGCAGCAGCACGTGAGCAATTCCTTCAACAAGGGAGCAAGTCCAGCTGGCTGAAGTGGATAATAAATAAGGGGAAGAATGAGAAATAAGGTTGGAAAGACGGGTGGGTGCTGGATTTTGAAAACTTTTTAACATCAAGAAAATTGGGGAACCCCTGGAGTTTCTATACAGGGAAGTGACAGGCTCAGAGCTGTTTTTCAGGAAAAGTAATGTGGCAGCTGATGTTACAGAAATTGGAAAAAGGAAGACGGACTAGGCAGGAGACTGTCTAGTTCAAGTGGGACAGAAGAACTCCTTGGAGGATCTCTTCTGTAATCCAGGGGGCCCACCAGCACCTAACACAACCATGAAAGGTGCACACGTTGACTGCCAAAGCCTCAATCAGAGTGGGAATTAATGCTTCCATAATACATATGTCAGTCAGTGTTGGTCAAGTAAAATTCATTGTTTTTGAATCAAACAGGGTATATGTTAGTGGACAAAACTGTAGCCACCCAATCCTGACCAAGTAAGCCACTTTTAGAGCCAAGGATACCAGAGTCTATTGTGCCATTGGTCACACACCCAACTATGACCCGGTAAAGGAGAAAGGCCAGAGTGACAGACACGCTCACAAATCAGACAAATTGGCAGCCACTTAGTAATGGTAGCAAAGATTCTCTCACCTCTGGTTTGGATCATTTTGATGACGTTGCCCACATACTCATACAGGATGACCAGATTGCACTGAGCAATGTCGATGCCTTCATCAGCAACTGAGGTGGCGATCAGAATCTTGTTATCTCCATTGGTTCTGAATGCATCTAATGCACACTTCTGTGCTGGGAGGGTCATTCCTACGTCAGAGTCAGAGGGCATTATACAACTCACCAGGTAGGGAACTTTACCCTTGAAAAAATAGCCATTAACTATGGAATGCTTATTACATGCCACGTACTGTTTAAGTGCTTTGTATTCATGATGTCACAACAACCCCAGGCAGTAGGGCCCATTCCTATCCTTGTTTTAGAGAGGACATTTAGGGTGGTGTCTGACAACTTGGACTCTGCCCACAGGGTGGCCTGAGTTCAAATTCTAGCTGCAGCACTTACTAGCCAGGTGGCTTCAGTCATGTTATCTCAAAATAAATATTGATTTTTTTTTTTTGCAAAAATATCAATAGCTAATCATAACACCTTTGCACATGGATAGAAGTTTACAGCTGACAAAATATTTTCACATCTACTTACTTCACAAAGCCCTTTGAGGTTGCTGTGCAAGCATTATGATTCCCCATTATGGACGGACACCTTGAGGTTTGGAGGGATGGTAAACGGCCAGGTTAGCTAGCGACAGAACCCGGCCTTGAACTTGAAAGGACCTTAATAGTGAGCAGCTCTCAGGCGCCGACAGACGGAGAGTACAAAGAATTTCAGTGCTCTCCACCTCAGAGTTAACAGAATTTATAAAAGTTCCAATTTTTTCCTAGCATATTGGCAGCCAAAATCTTGAGATATATTTTGCTAACACCAAAACAATTTCTTTTCACCATCATCTTCTGCTGAGCAATAAGCATGCCCAGGACAGACACCACACTCCATTAATTTCTGAACTTATTCATCCATTTGTTCCTCAAACGCTTATTTAGCAATTACGGTTTGTCAGATAAGGATACAATGGTTAAAAGGTCCATTTTTATCTATAGGGAGTTCAGAGTTTGTGGAAGAAGGATATAAATAAGAAGATATAATTCAATGGGATGAGGAATGAAATGGAGGCAGAACTGGACACTATGGGAACGTGGAGGGACACCTCTACTAGTCTTAGGAGGCTGGAGAAGGCTGCTTGGCAGAAGCACAACGACTGGTACAGAGTATGTTCTAAATAAATGTGGATGGATGGATGAAGAAATGAACAAACAAAATATATTCTGACTGCTTATTTGTGGAGTTGGAAAATCAGATTGGACTCATGTTCGATGGCAGAGAACTTTGAATCCAACCACAATAACATGGTGTTGGATTTCATTTGGTAAGCCAAATCTGAATTTACTTTTTAGACTCATGAGGTTTAAATTTTGCATAGGGGGAAAGTGCAAGGGTGATGGCTGAGGACTGACAGGGTGGGGGCTGTTTGTGATAAACAACACTAAACAGGAGAGACAGAGTGAGGGCCTGTCAGTGCCGGTCACCAAGGCACGGGGAGCAGGGCTGTGAGAGGCAAGGTGAGGGCTGGCGACCTATGACGCTCCTGGAGGATCCCAGAGGCAGCTTCATCCTTTGACACCTGAGCTAGATTTCAGGAATGTCTGCTTGGATATTTTTTTTAATTGTAAAATACATAATAGACACAAAAGCATCTAGAGTTTAAACAATAATGATAAAATAATCACAGAACATTTCTATTTCCAGTTAATCTTAATCTATTGGTTGAGAATTTGAGCAGGAGAGTAACATGCCCAAACAATATCTAAAACAATAACTTTGGTTTTGTCTGCAGGACATGAGGGAGGAGGTAACACATACAAGGTTTTGACATTTGAGCCCTGTGATGGCTTTTGATGTGTCAAATGGGCTATGCTGAACTACAGTCCCCAGTTATTCATCTTGGTGCTCCTGCGAAGGGAATTTGCAGATGTAATTCAAGTTCCTAATCAGTTGACATTACCTTAATCAAAAGGGATTTCATCCTAGGTGGGCCTGACCTAATCAAGTCAGCCCTTTATAAGAGGGCTTAGGCATTCCCTGAGCTCAGAGACTCCAAGGAGCTCCTGCCTGTGGGGTTCCAGCCTGCTCCTGACCACTTCAGACTTGCTCTTCCAGTCCAACTGTATATGCCAATTCCTTGTGATAAACGCCCGCGTGTGTGAACATACACATATAGACAAGAGATATGTGTGTATGTATAAACTCCTACTGGTTTTGCTTCTCTGATTGAGCCCTGACTAATACAAGCATTAAGAAAGAATTTGAGTATATTACCCATATTCTTATATATATACATATATACAGTATACTAAATCCAACTCACGATATATAAATACCTGTGTTATTAGTTGTTTTGCCACGGCCAGTCAATATGCCAGGTTTCAGAAAGCTCAGTTTGGGGTTTTCTTCAATCCATTTCTTTAAGGCCTGAAAATGACAAGCCATCATCAGTTGCACACTATTTGTATACCATCTGGATTAATTCAACATTGAAATATATGCAAGAGGAAAAAAACCCTTTAAGTTAGTATACAGACAGTTTTCAGACTGACAAACCTGAGAAAAAAGCTTCTTGGGATTGAATCCTAACCAATAATTAACTGTAATGGTATAGATCTTTGTGATCCGATGTGGTTTAATCTCTAAGATATTTTTTAAGTGAAAAAAATAAAGTTCAGAATAGTGGATATGTAGAACGAATAAGTGAGTTTGGTGAAGTCTCAGGACACAGAATCAATATACAGAAATCAGTTGTATTTCTATATTCCAGCAACAAACAATTAAAAGTACAAAAGTATTGTAAACAATAGCATTAAAAAATTAATACTTAGGTATTAGCCTAGCAAAATACGTGCAGAATCTGCATACTGAAAATGACGGAACACTGATAAAAGAAACCAGAGAAGATGTGGTAGGTGATCCCCACCCCCTGTGCTCAGGGTCGCGTGTAAGCCCTCCCCTAGAGTGTGAACTGGACTGACTGACTCGCTTCTGAGGAGTAAGATACGACAGACAGGATGGGGTATCACTTTCCAGTGGAAGGTACACAGTGACTGTGACCTCCCTACTAGGCATTCTCTCTCTGTCTCTCCTGGATCACTCACTCTAGGGGAAGCCAGCTGCCCGGCTGGGGAGAGGCCCCCATGAGTGAGCTTAGAAGCACATCTCCTGAGGCCTGCCAACAGCCACGTAAGTGAGGCTGGAAGTGGATCCTCCCGAGTCAAGCCTTGAGATGACTACAGCCAAGGCCAACACTTTGACTGCAGCCTCATGACAGACCTTGAGCCAGAAACACCCAGTGAAATTATCTCCAGATTCCTGACCCATAGAATGGTAAGAGAATAGATGTTTGTTGTTTCCAGCCTTTAAGTTTTGGGGTAATTTGTGATCTGCCATAGATAACTAATACAGAAGCTCCACATAAATGAAGAGATGTATTATGGTCATGGATTGGAAGATTCAATATTGTTAAGATGTCGTGTCTCCCCAATTTTATTGATTCAATGCAATCCCAAACAAAATCCCAGCAGATTTTTTCATAGGTGTGGACGAGCTGATCCTAAAATATAAATGGAAAGGCAAAGGAAGATAGATAAAACAATTTTGAAAAAAAGAAAACAGTTGAAGGACGCACACTACCTATTTCCAGACTTCCTATAAAGCTACAGTGATCAAGACAGTGAGGGATGGCTGAAAGGATAGATATATAGACAAACGGAACAGGACGGAGAGTCCAGAAATAGATCCACAGAAATGCAGTCAACTGATTTTTGAAGAAGTTACGATGGCAATTCAAAAGAGAAAGGATAGTCTTTTCAATACACAGTACTGCAACAATTAGATGTCCACATACAAAAAGAAAAAAACGCATCTCAACCCATAACCAAAATGGATTGTAGACCTAAATTTCAAATGTAAAACTATAAAACTTCTAGAAAGTAACATAGAGAAAATCTTTATGATCTTGGGTAAGCAAAGGGTTCTTAGAGGCAATTTCAAAAGTACAATCCACAAGAGGCTGGCCCAGTGGCATGGTTAAGTTCATGTGCTCTGCTTTGGTGGTCCGGGGTTCACAGGTTTGGATCCTGGGCACGGACCTAGCACTGCTCATCGAGCCATGCTGTGGTGGCATCCCACATAAAATAGGGGAAGATTGGCACAGATGTTAGCTCAGCGACAATCTTCCTCAAGCAAAAAGAGGAAGGTTGGCAACAGATGTTAGCTCAGGGCCATTCTTCCTCACAAAAAAATAAACGAAAGAAAAGCACAATCCACAAAAAGAAAAAAATTGATAAACTGAACTTTGTCAAAAGTTAAAACTTTCAATATGTAAAGGATACTGTCGTGAGAATGAAAAGACTAGAAGAAAATATGTGCAAATCACATTTCTGACAGAGAACTTTTTGTCAGAACATAGAAAGAACTCTCAAAAACTCAACAATTACATGACAAACAACCCAGTTAAACCCAGTTTTAAAATGGGTACCAGGTGTGTGAACAGACACTTCACCAAAGAAGATATAGGAATGGCTCATCAGTATATGAAAAGATGCTCAACCGTGTCAGCCATTAGTGAAATGCAAATTAAAACCCTAGTGGGATGCCACTACCGAGCCCATAGAATAGCTACAATTTTTTAAATTGATGAAAAGAATAAAAAATAGGAAGTGCTTGGTTTATAGGTGTCAAAACATTATAAACTAGAGAGGTTAAGACAGTGAGGCATAAAGGATAAACAGTGTAAGGATAAACAGACACATCATCAGAAAAGAACAGGTTGCCCAGAGACAGGCCCCACATATAGGGATGCTTGAGCGCAAAGCAGTGGGGAGAGGACAGTGTTCTCAATAAAGTGGTCCTGGATCAATCTGTCATCCACGAGGGGGAGGAAGCTTACATCCACAAGCGCCCTGGTTTTCACAAAGAGAATGGTTCTCGTCTCTGGGTTTAAGTGGTACTCCTCTTGCAAGATGAAGCAGAGGTCTTTGAGCTTAGGGTTCTCGTTGCTGGGATCCATGGAAACACTTTCTAGTTCTGGTAGCTTTTCTGCAAAAGGGGAATGTTTTATAAATGGCTTATAAATTCTAGAAATCTAGAACATACTGTGACCTTTAGCTATAGTTCAAACAGTTAATCTCTCAATCTTTGACCAGAATTTTATGAGTAATAACCACTGATTTAATGCATATATTAAATACATTGATAAATGCATACATTTTTTCCCCAAAGAGCTGGTTGTTCACTGTTTAGCTGCACACCACTGGGTTGCATATATGTATAGTAAATACTTTGGTATAGGCCAAAAATTATTAATAGTAATTACCTTTGAGAAAAAGAATCTGACAGAGGGAAAAGAAAGACTTGCTTTTCATTTAATATCTTCCTATATTTTTCATAATATGAGGGCAGTGGGATTATAGGCCATTTTGGTTTTCTTCTTTATATAGGATATATAAATTATAGTCTTTTAATATCATTAAATCACTTTTTTGTACTTTCTAAGCCTGTATAAAATTACTAAAAATTAAACCAAAAAATGCTATCCATTTACTAGTTCTAAGGGATATATCCTTTGCAAATCCTACTATTTTTCCTTCTTCAAAATAGGAAATGGTGTAAGCAGTAAATGTTTTCCATAAGTACCAGATTTCACTGAAGCTTAATTAATAGTCATGCCATCAATAATATCTTCTTAAGCCCAGGACAGCTCCCTCAGCATCACTGTATGCTAAGTATAATACAATGTAAGTGTGCTGTCGCCAGGTGCCCATGCCTTCCTCCTCTAGAAACAACACCCACCTTCGAATCTTCGAGTGAGATCTTGCTCGGTCTCATCAAATCCCGCTGCTCGGACATTATTGAAGAAGTCCTTCAAGTAATCCAGAGCATCTTTCATTCGTGCATGCTCACTGATAATGAGGGCGTCATTGTATTTCTGTTTAAAATGAAAACTGAGTTTCAATGTGTTTCTAACGTCTAACACATTCACTGTACATAAGTTCAATCAGCTGTACTTAGCACAGAATTAATTTTAAGAATAAACTTTTCTCAAATCTATTCCAACTTGCTTTTTTAAGACGAATGGTCCCTAACAAAATACTGTAAAACAAAATCTCAATTAGCTAGAATCATTGATTAATTAGGATCGCTTTGGATTCTAGAATTATACCTAGGAAGACAAAGAGAAAATTACAAGAACAAGTACATGTCAAAGATTAAAAAACGAAAGCAAATCAACTTCCACATCAGCCTGCCTCATAACTCAGACTTCCACTTCATCGCTATACATCCAAAGCACTCACTGAATTGTAATTGCACCTGTTCAGAATCATGGCCCCCACCACCTACACCAAATATTCAATCAGGTTCATGAAAATTCTATCAACGAACACTGATGGAGCACATTTTAAATATTTTCCATGGCACGATAAGCAGAGGTGTTGGTGGTTGTTTCTTAACTTCTTGGTGACGCAGAAGGCAACCGGAGAGCCTGGATTTCTGAGCACGTGGCTTTGCCAAAGGTAAGAACACACATGCTTCAGGATATGGCAACAGGAGCCACTCATTGAACTTCAAAGACGGCTGCCATGGGTCACATATCTACAATAATGTTCGTCATCACCCAACTCTTTCCGGTCACGTCAATCATGGGAATGCTGGAGGCACAGCCCAGATCTCCAGCCTTTGTTTCTGTCCTGTTGCCTCTATTCTTATGTTTCAGAAAGTACACAAAGAGGATGCTGAATGGGATAACTTTTGGAGTTTGCTTCATAAGAACCTCCTGGAAAGTTCCTAATGAGCTCTCGGGGACAAGATGAAACGCTGATGTTCTGTCAGCCGCCACAGCGCAGCTCCCAGTAGCTGCTGCAAGTGAAACAGGCCTTTCCAAAGAAGGAACGTACCCGCAGGTGAGAAGTGTACAGATACAGCGCTTTACAAATCCTGCTCTCTTCGGCTTTGTCAGGCAACTGAAACACTATGCACGCTTTCTGAACTGCAATAATCCATTGTTCATATTTCTGTGTTCCAAAATCCCGATTTTGAAAGCGAGATAAGTTTTCTGGAAAAAAAAAAAAGGTTTTCATTGTGCCGTAAGGTCAGCCATTTAAGGTCTGAAGCGTGCCTCGCCCTCTCTTTTTTTCTTACTCTCTGTAAACACAGTAGGCCTCCTAGACGTCTGAGCTTCCAGCAGTGTATGTGTGCATGTGCATGACTGTTGACTGAACAGTTCCTATGCACCAAGAATCGAAGGGCCTACAATCATCATTTCAGCTCATTTTCATAACCCCATCAGGTAAATTTTACATTTTACAGATGAGGAAACTGAAGCTCAGAAAAGTGAAGTAAGGGCCGGCCCAGTGGCACAGCAGTTAAGTTCACATGTTCCACTTCTCTGCAGCCTGGGGTTCACCAGTTTGGATCTGGGGTGCAGACATGGCACTGCTTGGCAAGCCACGCTGTGGTAGGCGTCCCACAAGTAAAGTAGAGGAAGATGGGCACGGATGTTAGCTCAGGGCCAGTCTTCCTCAGCAACAAAGAGGAGGAGTGGCAATAGTTAGCTCAGGGATAATCTTCCTTAAAAAAAAGAAAAGTGAAGTAATTTACCAAAAGTCACACAGCTAGAACATGGGGGGAACGCAGGAATTCAAATCCATGTGTGTCCCATGCCCCAGCCTTACTGGCTCTATGAGCTGACACCGAAGCAGCCCAGAAGTGAAACAATGGACGTGAAAAAAATCTAACTTAGCCTTTAAAAATGAAAGAGCAGTCAGTAAAAATAATAGATCGTAACAGAGGAGGAGATTTAAAAGCAGGAAAGACAGAACTCAACACAGCCTCTCCTGTTGTGCTGTGAACTTAGGCCGTCTGATCTCCACAGCACCATTCATGGGGCCAAGCAGAGAACAGGTGCTTGAAAGATACTTATCATGGATGCTTCGTACGCATGCATCTCCCGAGCTAAGCCTCTGTTGCTTGGTTCAAGAATTGCGGGCTCTGTGCAGGGTGCTGGGGAGAAAGGGTGAGGAAGACACGGCCCTGTTCTCACGCAACGCAGTCTATGAGTTACTCTAGGCTCAGCTCCCAGGGCCCCTCGGGCAGATCACAGAACAATAAAATTCAGAGGCGAGAGCTACATTTCTGGGTTAAACTTCTCCTCTCACCCACACATTGTCGTAAGATGACAAAGGGGGCTCCCCAAACAAGCAGAACTGACGCGCTTCCCTCCAGCCCAGACTACAAACAAGAGGCCAGCAGTGAACCGGATGGATCCACAAGGATTGATTGGACTTGAGCAGGTGTGAAAATAAGCTAAGCAATCTGGAAAGGAGCAGGTGATGGGATTTGGACGTATGAGAAGGTGGAGGTAGGGTACCCGGGTGGGAGGAACAAGAAGGTAGACATTCAGGTCTCCCTACCCTTCTGCCACCTGCCCCATTTGGACCACGTCCTAATGCTCCCAGATAACAGGACAGCCTCCCAACCTCCCTCCCCGCTTCCCGCCTTGCTCCCCGCAACCCACTCCTCGCTCCTCACGCCCCACTCAGCAGCGAGGGGGAGTTGCCAACATCGCAGATGAGAAGCTGTGCTACCCCACTGCTTAAAAGCCCTTGGTGGATTCCTCTGGCCAAAATCCTATCCAGCTCAGATCCTCCATGGCAGGGTCTCCACCCACTTCTGACTCTCATCTCTAGCTGCTCCCCTTCCTGAATGTTCCAGGGCTTATGGAGGTCCCCAGACTTTCTCAACTCCCTGGCCTTTGTACATGCTGTTCCCTCTGTCTGGAGCACACCTTATCATCACTTATCATCACCACCCACCTAACCCCTCCTCTGTTGCTTTATCATTATTACTTATCTAATTTTGGCTTTACTGTTAGACTGGAAGTGCCACGAGGGCAGGGGCTGCGTCTCAGGGCCCAGGCTGTATTCCCATCGCCTGGCATCTTGCCTGGCAGTGAATGAAGGAACAAGGGAATGAACATGTTCAAGGAATTGCTAAGTCAGAGGATTCCAGCAGGGAAGGCGTGGAAGGTAAGACTGGGGAAGTAGGAGCAGATGTGTGCGCAGGGCGCAGACTGTCAGGCAGGATATCGACACGACAAGACCAGCATTTCAGGAAGCCTAACCAGACAATGGGGGGTGGGTGGAAAAGAGAGTGGGAGTGCGCACTCCAGCTAGAAGGCCATTAGGGTAAGTCCTAAGTCAAGTTGTGAGAGAAAAGGAAAGAGAAAAGCAAAGTCAGTGTGAGAGAAGGTGAGACTCCATGAGGTGTCTTACAGATGTCACAGACTCAGCATCTCCAGAAGCCTAAACTCACCTGTACCTGCCAAAGCTGCGCCTAGTTCTGGCACCAGCACCACCAGCTGGCACATGTATAGGTGAGCCAGCCAGAGCCTGGGAGGGAGCCGCCCACTCTCTCCCCTCTCTCCCACCAAATCCAGTCAGTCATTCCATCCTAACGCCTGGTTTCCGCAGCGCCCTGCACAAGCCTGCTCTCTCACCGACCCAGCTCCATGGCCTCTGTGTGGCCCTCTTCATGCACTGATACGCTGACCACATCAATAATCACTTCAACATCTTCAGCTGCTTCCCGCTGCTTTTAGGGTGAGATTCAGACTGAGCGTGGCCGACCCGGCCCTTCCCTGTCTGCCCGCCGCCTCTCCCCTTAGCCTCTCTCCTTATACTCCCCACATGTTAGAGCGATCATGCAATGCCTGTACTTCCTAAATCTCACTGTGCTCTCTCCTCCCTCCACGCCTGAGGCCTTTGCGACCTCACTTGATTGTCTCTCCTCCCTAACTTGGCTGACTGCAAGATTTGTCGCAGGCACCCCCCCCCCCCCCGCCCAGGAAGCCTTCCCTGCAGCCCAGTCCAGGCCAGAGTCGGCATGTGCTCCCATGGCACCCAGTGTGTAATTCTCTCCCACCCTGCTGCTTGGAAATTGCTCCCATCTGATTCTCATTATTTGACTGTGAGCTCCCCGAGGGTGGGGATGTCTCCGATCTTGTCATTTCTACTCCTAGCACACTGCCTGGTGAATGGATGAACCGATGAATGAATGAATGAATGAATGAAAAGAATAGAACTTGGTGACTTCATGAGAGAGTCTCAAAAAGAATCAAAGACCACGCCCAGATTTGAACCTGAACCATCACGGGCATGGTGGTTTCATTCATATAAGTAAGGAAGTCAGGATGGAAAGCTAATTTGGAAGGTCAAGAGAGCAATGAACTGATCTGAATAGGGTATTTTTCAGCTGTGTGTGTCCAGATGGATTTACTTTGGATTAAAAAAAAAGAAAAAAGCGAGAGAGAATAACAGAGGACTCATAAGGTACCTGAATAACCCATAATCGAGAAGTCAACCTGTGGATGTGGTCTGCACATTGTCTGAACTGAGAATGCAAACAGACCCTGGTGAACGAGAGGTGACCATTCCTAGATGCAGAGGACACAAAATGAGCTTTATCTCACCAGGAGTGACAGCACCAAGTTCGTCAAAGATGCTCTTTGCCAGACTCTCTGTCTCCCTCATCAGCTGAGATATGATGCACTTAAAACCGTCGGTGGTTCGTGACTCCACTTTCCTGAAATCTAGAGGCATCAAAGGAAAATGAGCATTTTTCAGGAAAAACGTTTCACAGTTCTAAGTAGACATCCCCACACCTTTCCTGCCTTTGTCACTTCTCCATGAGACCTGAGACCCCCAGCTCACAAGCAGGTCAGCTAAACAAAATAAGAAATGCCCTAACAAAGCCCCAACAGCTTGCAACAGCTCTCATGTGCTTCAGGCGCTGATTCTAACATCTCTGGGTCTAATCCAGTTTATCACTCTGTGCTGTCACTCAGCACAGAGCCTCTGCTCTTACGAGGCTGATATCCTTCTTGTCTCTGCAGGGGCCACATTTTTAACCCTGTCTCTGTTCTCTGTTCTTCTCCCTCCCGACCACCCCCGATTCCCAAGGAGTGTTCGCGATGTTCCTAACATTCATTATTGTGATGTTTCAGCAGAAACTTATTAATCACCTGCCGTGTGCCACGTTCTGGTTAGAGACAGCTGAAAACAACACACTCCTGCTCCAGAGAAGACTGTGTTCTTAGGGGAGAGAAAGACACTTAGCCAATCACCACGACTGAGTGCTGTCCCCTAAGTGTGTGCAAGGGGTCATGGAGCACAGGGAAAGGACGCTCCAGTTCTTCCAGGGGAGGCAGTGTTGTGGGATAAATGGGGGAAGAGGTGAGGAGGAAGTGAGCGCAGACACGTACAAAGAACAGAACGGACGAAGGTGGAGAGAAAGCGCGTGACTGACTTGCAGAGTGCAGAGGAATGCAACATGGCTGGGTTCATGGGAAGAGGGAGGAGATGCAGCTCAGAGGGCGGGGGGGACCAGATTATAAAGAAATTTGTACGTGATATTAAAAAGTGTAGACTGGATACCTTCTCTAAACTCCTTAGAGGCAGCTCCCATGAAGGACCTCAGCTGACCCCTCCCTGACTAGTGGAGGTGTGTTGTTCTGCCTCATACCCATGCGGTCATATGCTATTCAGACAGCAAGGATAAAGTTATACATATCTTCTGTACCCCTCTCTCCCTTGCTGGGTTAGAAGAGCATTGGTATTCCATAAACATTTATTAGTCAATCTTATTTTTAAAAATCATATTCTGATCTTTTGAGGAAAGATATGATGATTTGAGATAATTTCACGTCAACCAAAATTATCAGACACATATTCAAATAATGAATGTCTACACAGTCTCTCCCTCAGGCCTGGACCCAGGGAAGGATGGAGGCATCCCCGTGCTTGGTTTCTCATGATCTCTCTCAGTGCTGGGCCCTGTCTGAGTTGAGAGAACTGAAGAGCAGGGACATTTGCTTTCCAGAGGCCACACCATCACTCGGGGAGAGCGCTTAGTTGGGGAGAGAGGCTAGAAATGTGCTTATTTCCCAAGTGTGGGGTTAAATGTTTTCTATTAAACAGAGAAAGGGTTAAAATTCAGTGCTCATCTAAATGGCTCTGAACCAGGAATCACAGAGGCTAACAAAGTCCCAAAGGCTTGTTACTGAATCCCACTCACTCTTCTCGGGTTTATAAACCACTTCCGTCAGTTCCTGCAAGTTGTCTTTCACGGTCGAGATCACTGACGCGTCAAGAGAAGCACACAGTTTGCAGATATGTTCCATGGCCTCATCTCTGTTTTTGGCGTCCCCAACACCAACGGAGGCAGTCAGCCCAACGACCTTTGAGGAGCATCCCAAAGCATTAGATGTCTGGAAATAGCATGACGTTGCCACAAGCCCTCGTGTAACCCTTTCCTGCTAAAGTTGATTTCCTTACTAACTTCAGATAAAGAGCAAAAACACCTTTTTTTTTTTCCCTGACATTCTCTATGATATTGCCAGTGGAAAGGTCCCCATTAGGCAAAGCACTGAATAAATGCAGGTATCACAACTCATCAGCTGGACACAAATCAGCATAGAAACCCAAAGAGGAAACCCTTCCAAGGCGGGACTTCTCTCCTCTCTACCCTTGTGACCCCCCATGATACACAGAACAACAGACTGAAAATGAAAAGGGCTGAAGTCAGACATACTCCCATCCAACCTCAGCCACATCACCCTGGCTGTGTGTCCTTGGACAAGTCTCTTCAGCTCCCCGTAGAGCTGGGGAACAGCTATTGAAAATGGTAGCTGTGCGAGTTCAGTAAGATAACATTTGTAAAGAATTTAGTTGAATGGTCACCTAATAAATACTTATTTCTTCCTCTAGTAGCCACTCAATAAATATTGAATGAATGACTCATCAGCAAGGTATCTAGTTAACTATCAATTTTATTCTAGAAGAAAAAGTTGTAAGAAATGTTACTGCTACTGAATTTTGTCTCTGGGCACCATACTGAAGCTCTTCTAACCTGGGCTTCCTCAACAGGTAACTGTTAGGGCTAGAGAACCTTACACAAACGTGAGACTGGTATACTATAAATTCCTGGTTTCCAACCTCAGTTGGGCCCCAGTATGACCAACCCATTCTTCTGTATATTCCTCTCAGCTCTCCCTCCCCTTTCGAATCCTCTCCACACACCCTGAGCCCCCTCCCCCATTCCCATCTTGATTATTCTCAGCAAATCATCTATCTACCTCTCCTACATTCAAGAGAAAAGAGGGGTTCTATGCCAGGGATCCCCTACCCTTCCTGCCCCATCTATGAGCTACTCTGTCTTGACTCTTCTCATCCCCTCCCCGTGATGACACAAAAATGGTGTTCCATCTGCTCTCCCATACTGATCCGTCTAGCCCTTGCCTACTTATCTCACACCCTCTGGTCTCTCCTGGCACCTCGTTCTACCAGTCATTGCCTCTCTCCCATCCTGCTTCACTGCTTCACACTCTGCAGCCAGGTGATACCGAAAAGCTTCAAGATCTCTGAGTACACGATAGCCCTGCGCCTCTGGACACACATTCGCCTTTACTGAAAACCATCCAGCTATCCGCCTTGTAAACTCTTGTTAGTTTTTGTGTAATCTGACGTTCTGTTAGGTCTGGCCTCACTTTTCCAGCACACTTAGGAGCTCTTTCATTTCTATTCCAACTGCACCTCGTACCCATCATGACAAATTATGACATAATTCTTACATATCTGGCTCCCTATGAGACTTAAGCTGTTTGAGGGCAAAGACTATGTCTTTTCATATTTGTATCCCTCGTGCCTAGCACAGTGCACAACACATGGAGGTCCCTAATACATGTTTCTTAAGTGAATAAATGAATGAATCAATCAAAATTAATCAAGGAGTTGTACAATATAGATTTACGACCTGAGAAGGACATCTTCAACATGGCCACAAGGGTAAGTACATAGGATTTAGGAAGGTGACAGTTCTGAGGAATCTCTCTGACTTTGGAGTTACCTGGGGCAGTGGGTCTGAAGAGCCTCCAAGTTTCTGATCTAGATAATTAAACATGATCATATTGTAAGGATGGTGTTTACTGGTGTTGTGGCATTCATCAAACATCATCAAAGTAAAGACAGAGAGTGATGGAATAGTCCCATCCTTAAGGCTGTTCACGAGGATCTGTGGAGTCAAAATGATGATGTCATTGTTCTCAACAATCTGGTCCACTACGACGTTCTCAGATGTTGCTCCAGAAATGCCTGCAACTTTGTACCTGGAAAATGACAGAACGTCCCTATGACCAACCACGATGTGAATGAGGAACCACAAAGATATGAAAGATCCACAAAGAACCACAAAGATCATTAAATTCTCCCTAAGTTCAAAAGGAATACATCTGGAGACAAGTTAAGTGCTTAGCACAGAGCCCGACACATGGTAAGTGATCAATAAATGCAAGCTAGTTTCAATAGTCAATAGTAGATATTAATTCTTTCAAACCACCCAGAAAGACAAATAGTACTTAAATAAGGGGGTAATATTAAATAAATTATAAAATCATTAAAAAATTAAATGTGCCATTGACCTGTAAAACTAATCTCAAGTCATTTACTCACTCTAAAGCAGTTTAGGATTTCAGGCATCTCTAATAAAAAATATTTAAATCCATGAAGGAATTACATCTAGATTATATAAAAGCTGAATCTATTATAAATTTTTTGAATCATGGTTTTCCAAAAACAAATCAAAGCAGAAAACACACCAATGACACAAAGCTAGAGAAAAAGAAGGTGGACTGACTGTTATACCTACCCACGTCTTTCAAAATATTGCGAGAATACGGATTTCTGCTGCTCGTACAGTGGGAGATGAATAGCAAAAAAGACCACCTTCCCCTTTCGTCCTTGTGGAAATTTCTTAAGATGATGTTCACATATAAGAAGCGAAACCAAGGTTTTTCCACAACCTTTTAATATATAAAAAAAGAAGACACGTAACTGATACTATACTAAAATATTTCTGCAGAAAGGTAATTATTTTTGGCTCCCCTAAAACCACTGCGCTCACTAGCAAATTGGTAAGGTGGATGGGTTAACAACTGCAGAACTTACACTATGACTCAGAAATATCAAGCTGCTTCCTGGGTGACACGCACTCAGACAGTGGGGCTCGAGGGCATGAGGGCATCTGTCTTTCCCTCCTCACGTTCCTTAAAATACCTTGTGACTACATTACTAGGACGGTTTTCGCAAAAGACAAATGGAACAACGAAAAAACTAAAACTTGCCCATTTCGACCCATATTCAATAAATGAAAAAAAGCAGCAGCAAACAGAGAAACAGACTACGTAACGGCAATCGGCTTACCAGTAGGAGCACATATTATTGTGTTTTTTCCTTCCTTGGCAGGCAAAGCGAGCTCCAGTTGGTAATTTCTTATCTTCAATGGGGCCACTTCTGTAACACAAAAGGAACAACCAAATAGTTGCTGCCCTGAGGAATCCAGGCAATAGCTACCATCAAACAGACAGGAATTCTGACTCCAGCAAGAAAGGCCTCACTTCTGGAAGTCAGGAATGCTTGTCTCTATTAACCCTTCCAGCTTCTCCACTGATCTGAAGCACAGGATTCTCCCCCGGTGACAAAGCACCAGTGGTAAGACAGGAAAAAAAAATCCCACACAGATTTCTTTCTTAAACAACCATGGGAGCCTACTAAGGAGAAACGAAAGCAGGAATAGCCTAACTCAGGGCAGGAGAGGGCCACCAGTTATAGGAAAAGCTATGCAAGACGAAACAACAACGAATCCCTCTGAGAGGTATGAAAAACACCAAATTGTAAATCCTGAACTCCCAAAGCAATCTCTTCTTGATGAGCACCCACGCTGTGTAATTCTGCAGGCTCTCACGCAGCATTTCCCAGCAACAGAACCGAAGTTTTCAAAAACAGTCAGAGGCTTTATCTCACTAGCAGATAAGCATATAGGATGTTAAGAGTTGGACAAGACCTTGGAAATCAACACTGAGTCCAACCTATCCATTTTAGAGAAAAGGAGAATTTCTGAAAGGTTAACTGAGTTCACTAAGGATCTCTACATGTCAGGAAAATTCAAAGCAACTTAACATTCATTGATTTTATTCCAGAATGAAAAGAATCTTGTATTATTCAGTTGCAGAAGTAACCTGTAAATTTTCTTCTGATGGTGTTATCCTAAAATCACACCATCCTTCTAACACTACTCATTATTAATCCTAAGTTCCTCCCCGATGCCCTTTTATCAATAACTTTTTACTACAGCTTACTATGCAACTTTCTGGTGCCTTCATGAAAATAAGCTTCTAGAAACCTAAGGCAGGCCTTATAGGACCCCAGCTAACTGATGCAGTGCCGTCGTGTGAATTAGAAAAAGAAGACTCTCTCAGAGGACACAGCTCCTCTGCGCACTGTGGAGCACACGGCACAGGCTGGATCTCAGCGCCCACTCAACCTCTCAGCCAAGCACAGTTGTGCAGTGCACAAACCTAATCAACTGACAGTGCAGCCCCAGGATCTTAAAAGGAAATGGAGCAAGTGACTCACAAATAGCAGAAGCAGTTCTTTAGAAAGCTGGGCTGATTTGGGATCTCACAGATGCTGAGCAGCTGGGAGGACTCTCTTTGCACACATTTGCACATACAGTCATGCACATACTTTCTTAGTGATAAAAGCAGACAAAAGAAGACGACGAAAGAGAAAGAAGAAGCTGACAATAGCTATGGAAGGGAGAGAATGACATTTCTAATTATAGAAAAAGTCTCTATTTTAATATAAATTCTCTTTTCTTTCTTAATTTTCCTTAAAAATCTGTTCAGAAGGCTGTGACTTTTGGCATTGCAAAACGCATCCCCACACAAAATAAGTGAAGGGCATCATTATGGAAAAGAACAGGGCTGGGTACCTGAAGGCGGACTTGAATTCTGACTCAGATTCTGGTATTCTGGTTCTTCCTTGTAGAAAATCTGTATCTCAGAAGTTTCTATTTCCTCATCCCCAAGATCTTTAGTTTCAACTCCTTTTGCACCTTTATGAGACCAAAAATCATGTTAGTATCTTTACATATTGTAATTATAGTCTTGATGATGAAAGCCCCACAAAGAGGTCCTAATACTAAATTTTTAAGCTTCCATTAACATTTCTCACAACCACTACCCTCACCTCCTAAAACAATTTTATGAATCTTTTTGAGTTTGAAATCTCAGTTTGGAGTTTGAACCCCAATGTCATTTAGGGCTTTATTATTCAAAGTGTGGAACACAGACCAGCAACTTCCAGAACTCGTTAGAAGTGCAGACTTTGGAGCCTCCACTGAATTAGCATCTGCATTTTAACAAGCTCTCCAGGTGACTGACATGTACACTAAAGAAGAGAAGCAGCGGTCAGCAGACCTTGATGTCTTCCATTCTTGATCTGACCCAAGAAATCAGAGGTGTATTTATACAATTTCTGGAACAACTTTGTGATCTAAAGAAGCCTAGGAAAAGCTAACTTTACCACTCAGCCTGCAACAACGCTCGGAGAAGGCGTTAGCTTCAGGAAGCCAAACGATGGCTCAGATGCTTCTCACAACCGATTCTTCACAGTTCTGTTCTGGTTCAGATGGCTTCCAGGCCAGAGAACCAGGCAATGTCTACCATTAGTCTATTCTGAAAAGGGGGCGGGTCCTGGAGTTTGAAGCTTTAACTGTAGTACTTTCAAGCTATGTCTCTGATAATCTAAACTCATACAGCAAGCTCAGACCCTACCTTCCCCAAGTCCTTTTGGCCAGATGGGCTAATTTCGGATGAGAGCCGTTTGCCCTGGTCCATTTTTAGGGGTTATATACAACCAAACTACTTCTGTAGGCAAGTAGGCACTCGCCTCCCAGAGATTTCCTGCTGGTCTCTCACCAGAGATGTACCATGGGGAAAACCCCTCTGGCTGTGAGCAAAATCAGATAGGAATGAAGGAGGCCCTGAGGCGAATTCTCAGGAAGGCAGAGCACAGGTTCAGCCCCTCCCACCCTGCAGAGCTCTCTCCTGGAACATCCCACCTTGCTCTACAGTCCACAGCTCACTGAACACGCTTTCTTCTTTCTCCAAAGCAAGTTTCAAAGTTTTGGGCCAGTTCTCCTTGTCTGATCTGAGAAGGCATTCGACCATTTTCTCTGCACCTGCCATCAGCCCCTTGTTGGAACAAACCTAAGCAACACAACCACAGTTGATTGACCAATTACTTCAAAAGGTTTCCTTTTATGAGTTTTTACTGAAGAAATATCAGTTCAATCACTACCTGATTTAAAGTCATCATATACTATGGTTCGAAAGGTCTTTTTCATGACCATTTTTGCCCCATCCAGTACAGTCTTTTAAGATACCTTTCCTTCATCCTTGTCCTCCACACATGATATCACTACGTTAAGCCAGGCCTTCTCACCTCCTCTGAGATCTTATATTTGTCATCAGCACCAATATGAGGAAAACAATCCATCTGACAACCATTCAAAATATGAGCATATGAGCAGAGAGAGATTTGGAAGGATATAACAAAAGATTAACAAACGGTTTTTTCAGGGTAGTGGGACATACATTACTTAATAACTAAAATTTATCAAGCACTTATGTGCCAGGAATGTGTAAGTACTTTACATATATTATCTCATTTAATTCCTATAAAAATACGACATTAGTAAGGTACTATTACTCCCACTTTACACACGAAGAAGCAGAGGCTTAGAGAAACAAGGTAACTTGCCCAAGATCACTCGTAAGTGGGTAAGCTAGGATTCTGACAGAATTCATTTGTGTCCAGAGCCGGAATGCTTAACCACTAGAGTCTAGAGCCTTTTTTCTTTTTATTTGCTAAACTGTTTGATTTCATTTAGATTTGCATAAAACATTATTCACAAAAATAATAAAACAATTTTAACTGAAAGTAGGGCAAACCTGAAAAAAAGTTGTGACATAAAAATTACTCGGATCACAATTAAAAGTACAGTTCTAGGTAATTATGCTTTAGATTTGAGGAATTCTGTGGATTTCGATGATCTTTCTCAGGGCTAAAGCAGAAGACATTTCCCATGTGCAAATCATTTCCCCCAAATTCAGTGCTTTATATTAATTAAATTACCTGGATAATTTCTTCACATTCCTGATCAATTAAACATTCAGATATATCAGGAAGGATATCTTTCGGATTAACTCTGGTTTTAAACACTGGTTGTAAACGCCTTAAAAGTGCTCTGTGCTCCTCCAACTTTTCAATTTTTTGGAAATCCCAACTTTCAATGGCTTCATAAAGTCCAGAATAACCTGAAAAGAAAGAAGGAAATGGGGGCTTTTATGAGACCAACTAAAAACTACTTCGAGATTAATAACATAGGAATCATGTTTGAATGGAGAGTGAAAGAACTCAAAAAATATCTGTAAATCACCTCAATTATTAGTGACCTTTCAAAAAGAAAAGTCAGTCCTCATCTTAGGCACCTAACATTTGAGATCCTCTAACAGCATGTATCGTCTCTTAGGAGAGAGTACTACAGCTAAATATGAAGTCTTACATTAGCTCTCAGTACAAAGTCTTCCTTCCAAAGCGCTCCCTGGAGTTCACCCCCAACTCCGATTTGTCTTTCAATGAGTCAAACCATCCTGTTACTAAGTAGCTTCTCAGTGCAAAGTAGTAAAGAGAGCAAAAAGAAATAGAAATCTTAATTCCTGCCCCTCAGGAGCTCACCTTCTACATTATTCCAAGAAAAGAATATTAAGTATAATGGGAAATTTGAGGAGGAAAAAAATTATTTCCAACTGTAATAATCCAAGAATGCTTCACTCTAAGTTTCTCTAACAAAACCTTGTCTGACTTTAAGGCCACACTCGCTTCATGAGGCTCTAAAGAGCACCAGCAACAGAATGAACGCCTATGAACCACCACCCAACTTAGGAATTAGAATATTCCAATACTCTTGTGGGTGGGTGTCTCCTGTCTCCCGGGCTTCAACCTCCCTGCAAGGATGCCACTGTCCTGTATTTGATGTGTCACTTCCTTGATTTGTTGGAATAGCTGTATGGCCCATGTCTGATTCCCTAAACAATACACATTTGGTTTAGCTTGTTTGGAACTTTATAAGCATAACTTACTAAATGTAACTTTCTCTGACTCTTTAGAAAGTTTAATATTACATTTCTAAGCTTCACCTGTATTGTCGTCTGTAGCTGAGTTCATACATTTTCACTGCAGGATAATGGACCATCATGTGCATATTATAAAATGTACGCGGGGCCAGCCCCATGGCCAAGTGGTTGAGTTCATGCACTCCGCTTCGGCGGTCCAGGGTTTCACCAGTTTGCATCCTGGCGTGGACCTAGCACCACTCATCAGGCCATGCTGAGGCAGTGTCCCACATAGCACAACTAGAAGGACCTGCAACTAGAATATACAACTATATACCAGGGGGACTTTGGGGACAAGAATCAAAAAAAAAAATGATTGGCAACAGATATCAGCTCAGGTGCCAAACTTTAAAAAAAATTAAATAAAACAAAATGTACATATCCATCCTCCTCTTGAAGGATGCTGGGGTTGCTTCCAGTTTCATTTGTTTGCTTGGCTTGTTTTTGTTTTTATGAACGTTCTTGTACGCGTATTCTGCAACATGTGTGTAAGAGTTTTTCTCGGGCACATTCTTAAGACTGAAACCGTTGGATAGAAGGATACATGGAGTGTTGAACTACACAAGATGATACCAAATTGTTTTTCAAAATAGTAGTATCAATTTACACTCTGTTTAGCGATATTTAAGATTTCCCATTATTCAATATTCTTTTCACGCCTTAACACCGTTTGACTTCTTAAGTTTTGCTATCTAAGTTAAGAAGTTGGTGCTCTACTGGGTAATATTCGGCCTTCTCACCACTGCAGCTCGGGCTCGTTTCCCAGGGTCAGGGAACCATACCACCCTTCTGTCAGTTGTCATGCTGTGGTGGCTGTGTGTTGCTGTGATACTGAAAGCTGTGCCACCGGTATTTCAAATACTAGCAGGTTCACGCGCGGTGGACAGCGTCAGCGGAGCTTACAAACTAGGAAGAAGGACCTGGCCACCCACTTCTGAAAAAATTGGCCATGAAAGCCCCATGAATAGCAGGGGAGCATTGTCTGCTGTAGCGCCAGAAGATGAGAGGATGGCACAAAAAGACCAGGCAGGGTTCCGCTCTGCTGTCCACAAGGTCTCTAGGAGTTGGAATCTGCAGGATGGCACTAAGGACGATTTATAAAATGCTATCTCATGTTCCTAATTTACATTTCCCTAATTGCTAATTGGGCCGCGGATCTATTCACATGTTTATTAACCTTTCCTGCTGTCTATTCTTTGAAGTGTTAGCTCACATCTTTTGCCCTGTGGATGTTTTCTGTCTTATTCTAATCAATTTTAAAAACTTTGTAATGTATTCTGGATACTAATTATTTGGTGATTTTATATTTTGCATATATCCTCGCCAGGTTGGGACTTGTTTTTTCACTTTCTTTATAGTGTGTTTTGATAAACAGATATTCTTAATTTAATGTCATCAAATTTATCAAACTTTCTTTTATGGTTAATGCTTTAAGGTCTTGTTTCCTAAATCCTGCCATCCCCAAGGTCATAAAAATATTATTCTTTATTCTTTCCTAAAATTGTTAAAATTTTGCCTTTTAGAATTGTCTTTAATTCTTTTGAATTCATTTTGTGTGAATGGAATGAGGTAAGAAATACAAATTTATTTGTATCCACATGGATATGAAAGTCAGGGTCTGTTTGGTTTTTAACATTATCCTGTTTAGGTTATTCTGTTTATAATGCCCCATTTTTCATGGGAATTCAATGGCAATTTCTCAAAAAGCCCCTCCTTGCCTAATGACCCTCCTTTCCAGTGATCTCTAGTATATTAGGTTTCCATGAATACATGAGTCTAATTGAAGGCTCTCCATTCTATTTTATTGGTCAGTTTGTGGATGTCAGACCAACGTTACACTGTCTCCATGCCTATGGCTTTATAATAAATCTTGATATCTAGAAGGGAAAACTCTAATCTACTTAATTCTTCTTCTTTAGGAATGCCTCGACTATTCTTGGGTCATAATTCTTCCATGTACATTTCAGAATCAGCTTGTCAAGCTCGTGAAAAAGCATGCAGGATTTTTGCTAGAATTGTACTGAATACATAGATCACTGTAGGGAGAGCTGACACTCGTATGACATCAAGTCTTCTTCTCCACGTGCACAGGTATATATCTCTACTTAGGACTTCTTTAATATCTTTCAATAACATTTTATCATTTTCTCCGTTCAGCCTTTACACATCCTTTGCTAGGATTATTCCTAAATACATTATAACTTTTGTTACTATTATAAATGGTGTTTCATTTTGGACTACATTTTCTGTTTGCTTGCAATGGGTGGAAATGCTACTAATGTTTGTATACTGATCTTATATCCAATAAACTTGCTCAATTCTCCCCTCAGTTGCAATAATCTCTTGGTAGATTTCTTTGGCTATTTCAGGTAGACAATTATATGATCTGCCTGAAAATAGTCTTTACATTGCGTCAGATTAAGATGAACTACATGTGGATACCTCAAAATTAATAGCATCTCATTTTTATAGCATTCTGAAACAGACAAGTAACATACTCTCCTTTGTGAGTAGGATGAATGAACTAACCTGCTTGGTCAAGGGCATCCAAAAAGCCACGGAACCAGCCTTCCTCCTGGAGCTCCAACAGGTACCTGAGAAAAAGTGAGGCGGCTTCCATCGTGCCTTTATTGTTTTTCTCAGCCTGAACATACTGCACCATGTCTACAAACAGAAGCAAGAGCGACTCATCAAACTGCGGAGCCAACACTCGTCGGAGGAAAAACCTGAAAAGCGCTGTCAGACCTTCTCAAATGGGCGTGGGGATTATAACAAATCACAGCCGTGGAAAGAGCTGCAGGGCGGCAGCAAATTCTCTGCGCAAGCAGATTGTGCCCATTCTTCACCAACCCACCCACCCATCCTCTCTGGAAACTTCTCCTAGTTTGGCATGGAACTCTGGGAACACGCTCTAGGGCAGTCCTTAAGAAAAGAGTTTCTTAAAGATATTTGAAAAAGTCTCCCCGCAACAAGAGTGGATTCATGGAAGCACTGGGTGAGATGGAAGAACAAAGGATTCCTCCAACATTTTGACCAAAATCTTGTTCAAAAGTCTAAATTAACTGCAGGACTAAAAGAGTATGAGCATAGGACCACTCCACGGTATCAGCAACAATTACAGTGAACTCAGCGAGCCGAGTTACAAACAGAGATACTTTCATGGTCCTTTTTCCAGGTTTTTGCTAAAATGGTAGGAAATATGGCAGAAGAGAGACAGGAAGAGGTGCTAAAGAGAGACACAGTGAGGCTAGGTAGCAGAAAACTGCCCATCGCCTACTGGTGGCCATACTGGCTTCGTACTCTCACTCCAGGTCTGGGGTGGTGACCAAACTGCTGCCTTCATGTGACTTAACATTTGGTAATTTTCCGTTTTTTTCCCTAGTGTCAATGGAATGTAAATTCCAAGGGAGTCAACCAGTTGTCTGGCTGGTTAACCACTGTATTCTCAGAGATTAGAAGAGGACACAGCACATGATCGACACTCAACAAAGATATGTTGAATGAACGAAAGAAGAAAGGAAGAAATGCCTTCCTTCTCTGCCAAGGTCTCTATCTTGGCAACAATAAAAGTAACCCTTTTAAACAGTAAAATTCAATGCTTTTTAGAGTGGTGAATCCATCATCACTATCTAATTTTAGTATATTTTCATTACTGTAAGAAGAAATCTTGAGACCAGCCCGGTGGTGCAGTGGTTAAGTTCACGCACTCTGCTTTGGTGGCCTGGGGTTCATGGGTTCAGATCCTTGGCACAGACCTACACACCGCTCATCAAGCTATCCTGTGGCAGCATCCCACACATAAAAACATAGAGGAAGACTGGCACAGATGTTAGCTCAGGGCTAATCTTCCTCAAGCAAAAAGAGGAAGATTGGCAACAGATGTTAACTCAGGGCCAATCTTCCTCACCAAAAGAAAGAAAGAAAGAAATCTTGTACCCATTAGGAGTCACTCCCCATTCTTCCTCCCTTAACCCCAGGCAACCACTAATCTACTTGGGTCTCTATGGATTTGCCTATTTTGGACATTTCATATGAATGGAATCACACAATATGTGGTCTGTATGACTGGGTTCTTTCACTTAGCTTAATGTTTTCAAGGTTCATCCATGAGGTAGCATGTATCATCCATTCCTTTTTTTCTGGTGACTAATATTCCATTGTGTGGATATACACTTTGTCTATCCATTCATTAGTTAACGGGCATTTAGGTTGGCAAATTAATAAACAGAAATCTCATTAAATTAGAGACAGGAGGCCAAAAGGGGGAGCTCTCACACCCTACAACTATTGCAGAGCCCAAAAGAAAGAAGACAGACTTCCTCTTGTTGATGGGCAAGAAGCTCAGCCAATGAGAGACTGTCACAACTCAGCCAATGAAAACCCATTACACCTCCAACTCTTTTTTTTCACAACCGCCCTCCCAACTTCCTCTTGCCCTCTGGAAAAGAGTGTCTGCTCCCTTGCTGCTCCAGGACTTGCACATGTCTCGCCACAATCACAGACCCCAAATTGAAATTCTTTGCCCATCCCAAATAAACCCATTTTTTGCTGGAGAAATAACTGGCTGTGTATTTGTTTGAGGTCAAAAGGTTGTTTCCACATTTGGGCTATTATAAACAGTACATGAACATTCATGTACAAGTTTTTGTGTGGACACGTATTCATTTCTCTTCAGTATACACCTACGGACTGCTGGGTCATATGTAACTCCATGTTTAACACTGTAGGGGACTGCAAACTGTTGTGCAAAAGAGTTGCCCCATTTTACATTCCCACCAGCAATTTATGAGCATTCCAACTTCTACACACCTTTGTCAACACTTCTTACTGTCTGTCTTTTTAACTTTAGCCATCTCTATTAGTTTCCTGTGGCTGCAATAACAAATTACCACAAACTAGGTGGCTTCAAACAATAGAAACTTATTCTCTCACAGTTCTAGAGGCTAGAAGTCTGAAATCAAGGTGTTGGCGGGGCCACACTTCCACCAAAGGCTCTAGGGGACAACACATTCCCTGCTCCTTCCAGCTTCCGGTGCTTGTTGGCATTCCTTGGCTTGTGGCCACATCACTCCAGTCTCTGCCTCTGTCTTCACCTGGCTGTCTTCTTATGAGGACATCCATGACCTTTGATTGGGAACCCACCCTACTCCAGTATAACCTCATCTTAACTAATTACCTCTGTAAAGATCCCATTTCTAAATAATGTCATATTCTGAGGTACTGGGGGTTGGACTTTAACATATTTTTTGAGGGGGAGGACACAATTCAACCCATAACAGCAATCTATCTTGTCACCTGTCCCAGCTTCCCTGGGCACATAACCTACTCTACTCCTTCGAGTCAATCCTGTTCCTAAACCAGTCCTTACAGCTGGGTTCTTGCTCCCAGGCCTCCCTGCTGTGTGTTCTTCCCTCAGACATGCTACCAGCCGCTACTGACACTCGACATGGTGGTCCGCACCAGTCTCAGCTGAGGCCGTCCCAGGTGAACTGCCTTGCAGCATCCTGGCAGTTCAGGTTTACTTTGTACCTGGTTGGGCCTATCCTGCTGCTACCTGGCCCCAGTATCTGCTACCACTAAGCAGTGCAACTTTCCTCAAAAGCCCTGGGAATCCAAAGCAGAGAAAATCTCATTTTTGGGCAGTCAATATTTCCCGAAGCCTTTGCCATCCTGGCCACTCTGTGATGCCATCTTCAGCTCCCAACGTAGAATTTCTTAATCTCCTTTCTGTGCTTCTCAGCCTCTTTACAAGCCTCTGGCTAGAGCACTGACACTGCCTAGTCTATAGCGATTGTCTGAGGGTCTATCCTCTCCCTTAGACTGTGACCACGGACGTGCTGTCTTCGTCTTCATCTTTGTATTCTAATCATCAACAAAGTGCCTGGCTCATGCACGTGTCCAGAAACCACTACTGAAGGAATGGATAAATACTCAGATACTGCTCACCCAGTGCCCTTCCAGGATAAGAGTTAGCCTTTGACTCCGAAGGAATTTTACAAAAAATCTGTAGGCCACACCCACATCTACCTTGAAACGTCCTGGATAATCTGTGAATAACCAAGCCCTTCAGTAGCCCAGTGACCATGCAAGCTCTCAGGAAGAAACACGGCCTTAATGCTCCTTTCCCAAGATGCAACCAGTGCACAAAATCCGCCATGTGGAGAGAAGGGTTACAGTAAAAAACACTGAGTATTGCTAGTGTCATTTACACATATTGGTGTATTCGTGTGTGCGTGCAGGGGGAATGTATGGGCATAAGGAGAGCATGGATAAGCTCCCATTGCCTTCTAATGAGGGCAAAAACTGAGTCCAAAAGTTCATATGCAGCCACAACACTCATTAGCGTCTCTGCTCCCTGACTGCATCCTGACTGATAGAATATACTTGTCACAATTAAGGTTAACCAATAGAATCCAGAGCTTCCAAAGCAGCTAAGGAAAACATAGGGAATAGGGAGACTTTATCAATCTAACAGAAAACAGGAAAAGATAGGGAGAAAGCAAAAAGTTTATGGACACATGTGTAAGTGTTAAAGTATAAAGAAATGAACAGGAAAGATATAAACCAACTAAATGACAACAGTTGCCTCTGGGAGGGGCTTGAAATAAAACTTCTATGGCATCTTTAACGTTCAAAAATAAGATAATGCTATGCATAGCATTCTTCAGCTTGCTTTTTTACTTACCTTTTGGTATTTTTATTGTGATTGCATTCTAACTATAAATTAAAACTAATATATATGCTTCAAACTATCCCACCTATGTGCTCCCATAGCACTAAGGTTTTCCATCAAAGCGCTTACCACACTTTATTATCTACTGTTTATTTAGTGACCTGCCTTCACACAGCACTCCAGTCTCTGCGGGGGCAGGGACCATTTCCATCGCGCTCACCAATGATTCCTCAGTCCCTAACACGATGCCTCCTATTAGATAATGTGTGCAGTAACATGTGTAAATTGCCTCCAAAGCGTCACCATGCCTGACACGAGTGGCTTTTTTATTGAATCAATACACGAGTGCATGAAAGAATGGGACTCACACCAGTTTGCTGGTGTCGCACTCATTCCAAGGATTTCTCAGAGATGTCTTGCACAGGCTTATGTTCTTCAGGGGCCCCAGTTATTTCGTGGCCGCTAGGCAGTTACTCTGGTCCTTCCCTCTGAGCACAGCTGGAAGCTGGGGGTCCACTTCTGTTGGGGGGATTCTTTCACTCCTGGCTGCACAGCCTGTGGTTTGGTTTCACGCAGCAATTAGCATTCAAGTGACCTGTCTGCTTTAATCCAATTTCCAAAAGCTGCTTCACTCAGGAAAGATAGGTAGGTACCTGGAGTCTGAAAAGGAATTTGCCATATCCCGCCTCTCATCTGAACTCCTTCCAGACACCACCTCCCCTCTCTTTCCCCAAAGCCGCGGCTCACCTCCAGCACCAAGCACTTCAGTACAACCGCACAGACTGGCCATTACCCATCATCATGTGTCTCAAAAGCTGGATGGAAAGCCCTGAACTGACCTAAAGCCATTCGGTCCAGGGGGTCTCGCTCCCCTCGAGTTCCCCCTTATTTGGAAGTGCAAATAAGACCCGGCAGAGTAGGCATCAGTTTCCTTGGAGCTCTGACAGCATTTTGTAATCATCTGTGTGTATCTGTCCTGACTCGTCTCCCCCCCGCCAAAACCTTGGGCTGCAAAGTATTTCAAGGAAGGGCCTGTATCTTATTTCTGAATCTCTGATGTCAGCACAAAGTCCAACACACAGTAGACGGAACTATTAGTAGAAATAGGTGAAATGGACAACGATTTGACTCCCCAGCTTTGAACCTACATAGATGGGTACTCCTAAGCAAGTCATCCCACCTCGCTGGGACTCAGTTTCCCCATCTGAGCCGCCAAGGGCTCCTCAAACTCTGGCAAGCTCTAGTCTAAAACGCTGGGGGATCTTGACACAAACTCGCGTTCCTAGCAGGCTACTGGTACTGATTAAAAAAGAGGGAAAAAGCAAAGAGAAAACAAGTCCCGAACTGTTTCCGCCGCGCCATAGGCAGGCGCCTTCGGGGACCACTCACCGTCCCTAAACCAGGGGGCCATGTAGCTCAGGATGTGGGTAGGGTCCAGGGTCTTCCGGACATAGTCCCCGAAGGCGTGCAGATTCCGGCGCTGCTCGGCGGTCATGACGGCGGCTGGGCGTCCCGCGAGTCCCAGCCTCACCCGCACCCCGCTGCCTTTAAAGCCGACGGGGTCCGGCAGGGACTTTCCGAACCCCCGCGCCGAGGGAGGAGCTGCCGGGGAACCGCAACCGGAGAGGGAAAATCGAAACTGCAACCGCGGCGCCGCAGGGGCAGCTCCGCGCCCCACCTCCCCGCCGCTTCCCCCGCGCTGCGGCCGCCGCTGCCCGGCCCTGCGTGCCGCTGGGCCCGAGGGCCCCCAGAGGACTCCTGGGAATTGCTTTGTGATTTTCATTTTCTATTTTCTGTTTTGCTTTTATAGGGGTAAAGTTCACATACAATAAAATGCACAGGTTTCAGATGTACAATTCCATGAGGTTTGAAAAATGGATAGGGGTGTCACCACTTGCCCCAGGAGTGTGGGTCCTATGGGAAGTACGTGTTTCACTTTACAGGAAACCACCTGTTTTCCACAATGGCCATACCAGTTCGCATTGCCCCCCGGGTTTTAAGGGCTCCTGGAGAGGCGCGCCCAGTGAATACACGTTGGTCAGGTTATTTTGTCTGCTTCTTTGTTTGCCGTCTTGGTTGGTGTGAAATGGTGTGTTCTTGTGGTTTTAATTTTAATTCCCCAAATAATTAATGCTGTTGGGCACATTTGCATGTACTTATTGGCCATTCATAGATCTTTTGTGAAACATCTGTGCCTATCTTTTGCCTGCTTGAGTTGGTTCTCTTTGTATTGTGGATTTACCAGTTATTTATTTATTCTGGATACAAGCCCATGGTCAAATATATAAACTCCAAATATCTTCTCTCAATCTGTCACTCACGGCTTCATTTTCTTAAAGGTGTCTTTTGAGCAGTTTATTTTGGTGAAATCTGATTTATCAGTTTTTTCTTTTGTTTTCTGTTTTTTGTGTCCTCTTTAATAAATGTTTGCCTACTCCAAGGCCACGAAGGTATTCTGTGATTTTAGGGTCTTTGGGTTTTTAGCTTTTACGTTATGATCATCTCAATTTTGTTGTGGTGTGAGGTAGAGGTCAAGGTTTCATTATTTCCATACTTACAACTGTCCCAGCACAAATTGTTTCATTTGTTGAAAACTTCCTTCTCCCAGTGAATGGCCTTGGCCCCTTTGTCAAAAAACCTGGGGGCCGCCCGGAGGCGCAGTGGTTAAGTTTGCCGGCTCCGGCTCCGCTGGCAGCCGCGGGGGTTTCCCGGTTTGGCTCCCTGCGCGGACCTGCACAGACCATCACGCCACACTGTGGCAGGCATCCCACATACAACATAGAGGAAAATGGAAACAGATGTTAGCTCAGGGTCAATCTTCCTCAACAAAAGGAGGAGGATTGGCAGCAGATATTAGCTCAGGGCTGGTCTTCCTAGGTTAAAAAAAAAAAAAAAAATCAATTGCTTGTATTGTGTACAGGTCTCTTTCTCTCTCCACTCTGTTCCATTTATCTGTTTGCTGACACTGCTTTATTCTCCTCTGTAAAGATTGTGTTGGCTATCCCAGGATCTTTGCATTTCACTACAAAATAAGAATCAATTTGTCACTTCCTACAAAAACAAAAGATGTCTATTGGCATTGTGATCAGGATGGCATTGAACCTATAGACGAACTTGGGGAGAACTGACGTCTTGACAATACTGAGTCTTCGAATCCATGAACATGTCTTTTCATTTATTTAGGTTTTTAAAAATTTTTCTCAGCAACGTTTTATAGTTTTAAGAGTACAGGTCCTATACATCTCTGTTAAATTCTTAACTATTTTATGTTCTTCCATGCTACTGTAAATGGCATTGTTTTTAAAGTTTCATTTTCAAATTGTTGCTAATATAAATACAAATGATTTTTGCTTCTTGACCTTGTATTATGCAACGTTGCTAAATTCACTTAGTTCTAGTAATCGTTCTGTAGATTCCTTACATTTTTCTAGTTAAAAAATCGACATTTGTGGAACAGGATTTTTTACTTCTTCCTTTCTAATCTTTGCCTTTTATTTTGTTTCCTTTCCTTATTGCACCACCTGCGGCCTTCAAGAGAAAGTTGAATAAAAGCGCTGAGAGTTGACACCCTTACCTTATTACTAATCTCAGCAGGGAAACAATCAATGTTTCACTTTAACTACAAGGTTGGCTGTAGGGTTTTCTTAGATGCCCTGTATCAGATTGATGTTCTCTTTTATTCCTGGTTTGCTCAGAGTTTTTATCGTGAAGGAGTGTTCTGCATCTGTGGAGGTGACCATATATTCTGTTAATATACTGAATTTCACTGACTGATTTTTGAACATTAAACCAACCTAGAATTCATGGGATAAATCCCATTTGGTCATGATGTAGCATCCTTTTTTCTGGATTCAATTTACTATTATTTTTGTATCTATGTTCATAAGGGATATTGGTCTGTAATTTTCTTTTCTAATAATGTCAGGGTTATTCTGGCCTCATGAAACAAGTTTGTGTAAGGTTGGTATCATTTCTTCCTTAAATATTTAACAGAATCCATCAATGAAACCATTTGGGCTTGGAGTTTTCTTTGTTTGAAGATTCTTTATAATGATTCAATTTCTTTACTAGATATAAGGCTATTCTGATTTTTTATTTCATCTTGAATCAGTTTTAGTAAGTTGTGCTTTTCAAAGAATTTCACCATTTCCTCTAAATTGTTAAATTTATGGACATAAAGTTGTTCACAATATTTCTTGTTATCCTTTTACCTTTTTAAAAAAACTAGTCTTTGGCCAGCCCCGGTGACCTAGTGGTTAAGTTCAGCGCGCTCCACGTTAGCAGCCCAGGTTCAGTGGCCAGGTGTGGACCTACACCACTCAGTATCAGTGGCCGTGCTGTGACAGTGGCTCACATACAGACTAGACGAAGATTGGCACAGCTGTTAGCTCAGAGCGAATCCTCCTCAGTAAACAAAAAACAAAAAAATCAGTCTCACCAAGGATTTACCAATTTTATTTATCTTTTAAAAAAAACAACTTTGGCTTTGATAATTTTTTTGTTGTTATTCTATTTCACTGATTTCTGCTCTAATCATTATCCTTTTCTTTCCTTTGGGTTTAATCTGCTCTTCTTTTGCTAGTTTATTAAGGTAGAAATTTAGATCACTGATTTTATACATTTTTCTTTTCCAATATAAGCATTTGAGGCTATAACTTTCCCTTTTCCCAGCTGGCTTCTAACATCCCATTAATTTTGATATATCGTTTTCAATGCCATTCCATTTGAAATAGTTGCTAATATCCTTGTGATTTTTTCTTTAATCTAAGAGTTATTTAGAGGTGTGCTGTTTATTTTTCAAATATTGGGAATTTCCTAAACATCTTAGTGTTATTGACTTCCCATTTTAATCTCTTATGATCAGAGAGCATATGTTGTAAGATTTCAGTCTTTTGAAATTTATTGAAACTTGTTTTACAGCCCAGATATGACTATCTTGAATATGTTCCAGACACAAGAAGACGGTGTATCCTGCAGTTTTTTGGTGTAATGTTCTATAAATGTCAATTATGTCAGGTTGGTTTATGTTGTGGTTCAAGTCTCCTATCTCCTTACTAATTTTCTGTCTACTTGTTTTGTCAAGTATCGAGAGGGGTGTTAAAACCTACAACTATGATTATGGATTTGTACATTTGTCCCTTTTGTTGTATCAGTTTTTGCTTCATAAATTTTGTAGCTCTGTTATTAGACGCATTCATAGTTAGGATTATGTTTTCCTAATTATGTCTTTTATCATTATGAAGTGTTTCTTTTTGCCTCTGTTAATACTTATGTCAAAGTCTACTTCATGTGATATTGCTTTCTTATGCTCATTGTTTGCATGGTGTATCTTTTTCCATCCTATTGCTTTCAACCTCTCTGTTAATATTTAAAGTGCACCTCCAGTCTACAGCTTATAGTTGCGTCTTGCTTTTTTATCCAGTCTGATAATCTCTGCCTTTTAATTAGAGCATTAAATCTATTTACATTTAACTATTGATAAAGGGTTTAAAACTACAATTTTGCTGTTTGTTGTATCTGATTTTCTTCCTTTGCCCCTCTATTCCTTCAATTTGGGTTAATCAAACATATTTTTACTTTGATCTCTTTTAGCTGTAATTCTTTCTATTCTTTTAGCTATATGTCTCTCTCTTGAGATATATATGTAGTGGTTGCTCTATGGATTACAATATGTATCCTTACCTTATAGCAGTCTACTTTAGAATTAGTGTTATATCAATCACATCAGGTAAAATGTAAGATCCTCACAATGACATGCCTCCATCTACCCCAGCCCATCCTTTGTGCTATTGTTGCCATATTTCACTTCTGTGTTATAAACCACATACTATAATGTTATCAGCTTTATTGTAAAAAAGTCAGCTGTCTTAAGAAAATTATAGTCTTTTCTATTTTCCCATGCTGTTTACTATTTCTGGTGCCATTCATTCCCATTTGTAGGTACTCGCTTCCAGCTGGTGTCATTTCCCTTCTGGCTTCTCCAATATATTGTTAGGGTTTCCAGTGAATTTTTCATTTCTAATATTGTTTTTAAAAGTTCTAAGAACTCCATTGTCTCTTTTGTTCTACTTTCGATTTCTCAACTCAGAACCTCTATCTGTCCATTCATTATAACTATCTTTTCTTTAAGTTCATGTACATATTTCTAAGTGTCTTTAAAGTACTTGATAATGTGGATTATCTCACAGTATGTTTTTGCAACTGCTTTTTCTCTTGACTTTGGGTTCCTTCACATGTAGTCATTTTTATTTTATAGCCTCTTCTGCTAAACTGTGGCCCTTCAGGAGTTTCAATGAAAAGCCCTAGGTTTCCCCTGTCCTTCTAAACTGGTAGGACTCAGACTCCAAATTCTGTCTTCCCTGTGGTGGCAGCTAAGACATCTGTTGAGCTCTTTGAGCCTTCCAGTCATGGCTTTTGCAACTGCTTTTTCTCTTCACTTTGGGTTCCTTCACAACAACCTGGGCTCCTGGGAGTCTCC